CTAACCCAAATGAAAAAACAGAAATGAAAAGAAGCCATTCTAACATTGAACTTCCGTTGCTTCTTATGGAGTACTTTCTAATGCATCAAAGGTCTAAAAGAAACAGTGGCGTTGTATTTGATTGAAGGGTTAAAGTTGTGTACTTCTTGACCCTAGACCCCAAGGGAGTTGGAGTTTTGCTTAGTTGTTGTAGTACTCAGTGATGACGGGTGGGGTGACCGGAAGTGGATGTGAAATGGTTCACGATGGGGGTGGTTGATGGAGTTGGTCAAGGGTTAAAGAAAAGATGCTTTGATTTGTCAATAGGAAAAAATAACACCTTTCAATCAAATTTATAAAAACTCATTGGTTTCTCACTCTAAGTCTATCTACTATTTGTCTAGTTGGCAAATCACTGGTGTGACTATGTGTAACACCCACTATTCATTGGCTGCAGAATGAGAGTTGTATCACATTACATGACTTGAAGGGCAGTAAACTTTCTGGCAGTGTTTTCAATATTCTTTTTAACCTCAACAAATTCATGGCATTTGAGACTCGTGATCCTTTCCTTATTCGCCAGGTATTAGCAATCAATAATGTTGTGTGCCATTTATGAACGTGATTGAGTGTCTGGCATTTAAATTTCCAATCTTAAAATTGTGACTTCGTTAGTTTTTTATGTTCTTTCACAGGAACGGGAGAATCCACATTTAACTGAGTGGGACCGGTTTGCACGCAGAGAATATATTAGGCTTTCAATGGAGGAAGATGCTGAGGATGCATCCAATGGAAGTGCTGATGTTTGGGATGAATCTGTTGAATCTCCCTTTTGAACTTTTGTTTGTTCGCTACACCGAGGTATGTACTTTTACATGCTTCAGTAAGATTCTTGCTAATAAATGTAAGGCTCAGCTGTTGTGGCTCTTAAACCACTGAATCCACTGAAATCAAAAGATGCTTTCGAACAACAATACTCAGGTTTTTGACAACATTATTTGGTTTTTAGTTAAAAAATCGTCTCACAGCACTTTTTCATGTTTATCATAAAATATCATACTTTGTTTCTAATGCTTATCACTTTTCATTCACAGTTCAGCATGCCAAATTGGCCCTAAACATTGAACCAAAAAAGCCATTAATAGAGCCATTAAAAAGCATGTTTGGTCGGTCTGTTTTATATACATGGTTTGCATTATTAATTTTGAGATCCTAAGTGTTTAAATGAATAGAGTCAAAATTTTAGTTTCTTCTTTGAAAACACTGAAAACATCAAATTCTTGTTACCAACAATAACAACAAACATAGTATAATCCCAACAACTCTGTTGGGGGTGGGGTGGAGGTCAAGATGTATGCAATAATTGAAGCATTTTCTGGTAGACCATTGATGCATGGCTGCATTTACTTGCCAAAACTTCATAGAAATTAAGAAGCAATGGAAGTTTAATGTGCCATTACTATTTAGTACATTATTTACCTGAAGCTAAAACATTATTAAAAAAATTACACTCTTTTAGCTCCATTGGCAATAGATTAATACTTGTTACCATCAACTTAAAGTTCTGTTTTTTTGTCAGAGCTGAAAACAAAAACCAATACAATCATACTCATTACACTGTTCTTAATTTAAACATAAGACATTACCAAGTGACACATATCCTTCCTGTAAAATATTTTGATTAAATGGCTATATTACATTGTTTTCAACTTCCACTAGGTACGCAGAATCTTGTTTGGCCCCGGGCACTGAGGATTGAATGTCAAAGTTTTGCACGGCCCATTGATCGAGGGGTTGGTTACTGGATCTGCATGTTCCTGAAGAAGAAGAAGAAAAAAAAAGGGTTGCTTGTGAGTGATTGTGACATAACTACTGATCATTTCATCTATATGCAGAAGTGGGAAGCTCAGACTTTAATAATTTCATCTACTGGTCAGTCTCTTGGCAAGCTCATAGATGCAGTGTGATGAAACAAAAGCCATTTCTGCATATATACAACTTACAAAGCTCTGGCGTTTCTCCCATCTGTAAGGAACCTTCATTTTTACATGTTCCAGGTCACATTTAGTTTTCCAGTTACTCTTGAGGGGATTTGTTTTTTTTTTGTTTGTTTGTTTTTGCTTTGTTTTGTTTCACAGATTCATTTGATCAACTGATTTGATGTTTTATTTTTTCAACCCAATGTAATGATGTATAAAGGAGTTCTATGGTTCTGCAAACTAAATAAATAAATTTTTAATTATTTTGAAATCAATCAAGAAGTGTGGATACAAGAAAGGAAGATTTTATTGAGCTAATAAATCTTTCACCGACTGAAGTTGATAGCCATGTGCTCTCCCCCTCATCATCATCATTATACTCCGTATTAAATATTCTATCCGTCCCTAAAAGACCACCACAGTTTGATTTTTTTGGTCAAATTGTAGTATCTTTTGAATGTAAATTTAATAAAGTTTAAAATAATTACGGAGTACATTTTATAAAAATTGGATATTTCAAAATTATATTTTAAAATAAATCCAATTTCATTAGATTTACATTATAATTAAATATATTTTTTCCATATTTCACAGTTAAAGGAGCTACAATTTGATTAAAAAAGTCAAATTGTGGCAATCTTTTAGGTACGGAGGGAATATATGCTTATTACTCCATTTATTATTATTATTATTATTAAAGCTAATTTCTCTCGCTGTATACTACCTCTCAAATTAAAACTTCAACTCACATGATATAAAATTTAAGTAAAAGTGTAGAAGAGTGAAAAGTATGGCTAGAATTGATATTTATATTAAAGAGAAATAATGTTGGTCACATCGCCCTGCTAAAAAAAGAAAAATGTCTCATTTATTTTGGCAGAGTATATAAAGTAAAGTCATAATTGTATTGGCTCTCATATTGGTATGAACTAGATTGGTGTGTATTGTATTTTTTGTATCCATACTCAATATTTCGTACCAGGTTTTAGATAAAAGGTCATTTTCTTATATCCAAGTTCTTTGAGGTCCCGTTTGGTACATGGAATTCAAACTATGGAATTGGAATTGAGAACTTCAATTCCAAATTTGGTGTTTGGTAGTATAAAAATTATGTGCATCTGGAATTGATAGTGAAAAAAATGAATTGGAATTGGCAGAATTCAATTCCATCCATGGAATCTCAATTCCAATTCAATTCTAATTCCGTCAATTCCGTATATCAAACGGACCCTGAAAATATTTACCAGGAATCATTAAAGAGCGTGATGCGTCTCTATTACTTGCAAGGATTGTGCATGGTATGTATGGATGACTATGCATCTTTCATCGATATTGGGAGAAATCAAATGCGTTTATTACTTGTTAAATGATTTGTTTTTTCTCCAATCCTAAAATATTTTTCTGTTCTTCCACAATAAAATTTACTTGTTTACAAACGTCAACTCAGGAAAAACTTTTAGGGACTTGATTATTTTAAACTCATTTCCGCCTCTAGTATTGTGGTTATGTCATCGACTTTTCGATGACTAATTGCTCGGTCTTGTTGCGACTAGGTTTATGACTAGCCATTGCCTTCTTCACGTCGTTGGATATGTTGCATCGACCATCCATGGAGACGTCGACTAACCATTCAAAGAGGCAACCCGACCCAACCCAAATCCAAATTTTGTCTCCTTTGTCGATTGATGAACCACTCTTGGGGTGGGGTCAATTTGATTTTTACGTGAAGTAGATAAGTAAATCAAAGCTAGAAATTCAGTTCGAGTCAATTTTACATAAAAATACGTGAAAAGCATTTATTATTTGATTCGATTTTTTCAAATTTTCCATTTAAAAAAATCTTAAACAAAAAACTAAATGTGTATTGTAAACAAATTTAGAACTTCTTTTAATAAAGTAATAATATCAAAATAATACATAAATATGAAAAAAAACTTTAATGAAATCAAAATAAGGAAGAAATATTAATCTAAGACTAAAACATACTCGAATATTCCCGGAGGAGTATTTTATATATCAAAATAGAACCTCCAATGACCAGAATATGACTTATAATTCTAAATAATATCAACACATAATTCTAAAAAAATTATGAAATACCAACACACAATGTTGTGTTGCGGCATTTACAATGTCATTTATTCTACTTAAACCTTCTTGGGAAATAGTATTTCCAATTAACGTTAACGTTTTGGATAATTTTTTATTCGTATTAATTAATTATGAAAATACTTAAGGCAAACACTGTCATTTGATAATCTTTTCAAAATGTTGAAGTTGTTGGCAAACATACAACTCTTAAGGCATTAAAGAGAAAAAAGACTAAAATAAAAATAGAATATGTGGGGTAAAAAGTACTAAAATAAGAGTTTTATATTTTTATTCCTAAAATAAAAATTACATGTCAACATATAATATGTGTAAAGTTCTCATTTCATTTGTCTGTTGTTTAAAAAAAGTTCTTATTCTTAATCCTAAACTTACACCATATAATGTCAATTTGAGTAATGTTACAAGTTCACCAAATTTAGACACCAAGAAATTGCTAACAATTGTTTCACTGGTATATACATAAAACCATTATCTGTGAAGCATAAACAATCATAGTCTATGCATGTTTTAGAACACTTGATATCAAATTTCTTTTACCAATTTTGATGGATTTTTTCTTTCAAAAAAGGTGGGTTTTTTAGGAATAGTTTTTTGTTTTAGTTTTGGTAACCCACCCCCCTTGGGCAAACTCCCTAAACCCGAAAATCTCGGCCTAAAGGCTGCATTTTTCAATTGGTGTACCATCCTTGTTTTGTGGGGGTAATTTAGAAAAAAAGTTATACACTAATTATAAGTACAACAGTTTGAAGGCGAGATAATTCCATTGCTCCTCGTGATTTGGAAAATTGATATCAGCATCCTAATTGTTTCTAAAACTTATTTCTAAAGTCTATGTGATCTCAAGATGTTGTACTTACACCATCTGATCCTTTTTGGCCATTTTCTGGCAAATACGAGATATTGACGCTTAATTTCTAAACCATATGGGTCACTCGTGCTCATTTCTTATTTTTCATTTATTATATGGGTTTTCCCTTTTTGGAGCCAAAAAGGGATCTCTTTCCATCATCTCGGATGGAGCCAAAATTTCACCATTTTTGGCTTTGGGATGTGATGGAATAAATCAAAATGGATCTCTAAACTGTCTGTGCTTCTTTAATTAATGAAGTAGCAGTTAGTTAAGCAATGCAACTTTCGACGTTGAGCCGGGGGTCTCTTTGGAAACAGCCTCTCTACTTTCGAGTAGGGGCAAGGTCTGCGTACACCCTCCCCAGACCCTACTTTTGTGGGATTTAACTGAGTTGTTGTTGTTGTTGTTGTTTTCCCTTTTTTGAACTTTTTTATCTCTTTGTTTTCTTTTCTTAGAATTTTTTTATTTCTTCTCAAATTTTTATAATGTTTTAAAATATTCAAAATTCATTGTGTTTGAAATAAAATAAAAAAAATTAACACACACTAAATCTATCTCAAATTAAACATTTTCACTTTTTGCTTTTTAGAATAATTTTTTTTAAAAAAAATCCAGAATAAAATAGATAAAAATATGGAAAAAATAAATGAAAAAAAATTAAAGTATGCAAAAAAGAGTCTCATATGAAATAAAAATTTTAGAATGCCTAAAAAATCCTTAGAATTGGGATATCCGGAAAGGATATTTATTTTTATTTTTTGTTTTATTTTGTTTCTTATTTTATTCCTCATTTTTTAAAATTCTACTTTTTTTCAGAAAACAAAAGACAAATATTGTTAATTTGAGGCGTACACGTGCAATATATATTGTTTTTTTTCAAACAAAAATAATTTTAAATTTTAAGAACATTATAAAAATAATTTTAAAAATAAATTTAAAAAACCTTGATTAATAAAAGAAACAAAAATCAAGAACGAACACTAGTGCCCCTATGATTTTGAAAATATGCACAATACCCCTTTTTTGCCGAAAAATGGCGAGAAAATGATCAGAAGGGGTATGAGTGTAACGTTTTGAAATCACAAAGATTTTAAAAATAAGTTTTGAACATTTGAGGGGTTTTTTTGCAAAACACGGTGGATACTGGTGCTATTTGTCCATAGTTTGAAGGAATTAAATTGACTTATAATTTTAGAGATATTGTAGTATGTAGTATTCATTCAATTTTCTTTCATTTTTTAAGTTAAATTAAATTATAGCCCCGCTCCTGAGTGTGAGATTGGTCATTCTTTTCTAGAGTTGTTATTATTCGAACTCGAATCAACCGTAAGAGCATGCAAGTGCTATTTCATCTCCTCTTTCCTAGTTAACATGTCAGTGAAATTAATATTAGGTCCTGTAGTATTGGATGAAAATAAAAAATGGAACTGGCCCTTCTAAGTTAAAATCGTCCCAACATATTAGATCTCTCATATTTATTTATTTATCTATTGAAATAGATGAGACTCTAAAATGGAATCTTACAATGAAGATTTAAAATCATTTCTAATAAAACTTGGGACTCACGATTGGACATGTTCTAGTGTTCTACATGCTCCAATCCCCTAACAAGGTAAATTGAAATGAAAGGCATGTCCGCAGCTGGTAAAAGCAAAATATGTAGGGGTAAAATTTGAGTTTTATTCTTGGTAATTGCGTTGGAAAGCAACTACGCTAAGTATAAAATCTTTGTAAGTACGAGGTATAAAATTTATTTTTTACCACTAATCTACTATAAAAATCTGATCTATGACTATCTAGTCGAGTCTAAAGGGGCTTGAGGACGAGGCTTATCTTCTTTTTTCTTTTTTTTTGAAATGAAAGGCATATGGGTGCATCAATGTCAATGTCAGGCATCGGCGGAGGATGGACAAAGCGATTGGGGAGGCGTTAAAAGCAACGCCGGGTGAAGACCGGCATTTTCGTAAATCAATCAAACCCTAGGGGCTTACACCTCAATTTTCTCTCCACAACCAGCACACCCAACAGCCAGTGTGTTTCTCAAAAAAGAGCGAAGAAGAAGAAGAACACAAAGCAAAAGTGAAAAAGGCAAAAAAAGCAGACATTTTCCAGTTTCCCGCATCTACCCTTCCATGGATGCGAAGCTCTAATCATTCCCCCTTCTCTTCCAGAAAGCATCCCTCAATCCTTTCTCTTCGACTTCCTGCGGTTCGTTTATTTCTTCATTTTGCAATACGATTTCTGTTCTTCTTTGTTTGATTAAGGGAAAAGAACTAGGACCCAGATCGATAATTTGTTGATTTATTATTCCGTCTTCCTTAGATCTACAAAAAAATTGGGGAATTTTTCTTTCCAGATTTCAAGCTGAGGTTTTGGTACTGAAGTTTGTGTACCACACAAGAAAGTTGACAATGTGGATTCTCATTTTGAGATTCTTGGGTTAAAACAGAAAGGAACTTCACTGTGGATCCAATTTGGCGAAATCTTTGAGATTAAATGATGGAAGACTGGCCCAAGTATGCTCATAGCCCTGCCCATTTGGCGGTTGCGAGGCAAGATCATTCTGCTTTGAAGAAGATTGTTTCTAGCTTGCCTAAGCTAGCCAAGGCAGGGGAGGTAAAAACAGAGGCCGAATCTGTGGCCGCGGAGAACAATGCAGATGCTGTTTCTGCAGTGATAGACAGGCGAGATGTCCCTAACCGTGAGACTCCATTACATCTTGCGGTTAGGTTAAAGGACCCCATATCGGCCGAGATATTAATGGCAGCTGGTGCTGACTGGAGTCTTCAGAATGAACAGGGATGGAGTGCCCTTCAAGAGGCTGTGTGTACTAGGGAGGAGCACATTGCTATGATAATCGCACGGCATTACCAGCCTCTTGCTTGGGCAAAATGGTGTCGTAGGCTTCCTAGGATTATTGCTTCCACAGCCCGGATTCGTGACTTTTACATGGAGATCTCCTTTCATTTTGAGAGCTCAGTCATACCCTTCATTGGTAGGATTGCGCCCTCAGATACTTACCGGATATGGAAACGGGGATCCAATCTCCGTGCAGACATGACCCTTGCGGGATTTGACGGGTTTCGGATTCAGCGGTCAGATCAAACGTTTCTCTTCCTCGGAGAAGGTAATGCTGAATATATTCATGAAACCATATCCCTATTTACGTACTAGGATTAGCCCATCATTGGTGTGTATGTGCGTGTATATCTTGTAATGGTTTCACATGGAGAAAACACAGAAATACTATCTACCCTTTTTTCAACATGGTATTCAAGCATGGTCTATTACTGGTTTGTCTCATTTGGCTTGGGCTGAAGGCATGTTGAGTGTCATACATTGATTGTCTATTGAGTTTTATTCTAGTATTCAAGTGTGTGTGTGTGTGTGTTTCTTGTAATGGTTTCACATAGAGAAAGTACAATAACTTTCTATATGTCAACAGGTAATACATCATTGTCCCCAGGATCACTGATTGTTCTCGCGCACAAGGAGAAAGAAATAACTAATGCATTAGAGGGAGCCGGAATTCAACCAACAGAATCCGAAGTGGCCCGTGAAGTGGCTTTGATGTCTCAAACAAACATGTATAGACCCGGTATAGATGTCACACAGGCTCAACTCGTACCACACTTGAACTGGAGGCGCCAAGAGCGGACAGAGATGGTCGGCTCTTGGAAAGCCAAGGTGTATGACATGCTTCAAGTGATGGTCAGTGTGAAGTCAAGGCGGGTCCCAGGTGCAATGACGGACGAGGAACTCTTTGCAACAAACGATGAGGACAAGATTGGGAATGGAGAGTATGACGATGAAGATGTTTTAACAGCAGAGGAAAGGGTTCAGTTAGATTCAGCGCTTCGTGGCAATCCAGATGGAGAGGATGATGAGGAGCGTGATGATGATGCTTCGCTTGAGAGCTCCGAATCCAACGGTGTGGTTAAAGAAAAGAAAACTTGGTTTGGTTGGAATAAGAAAAGTTCTAAACTGCCCCTTGAAGAAGGAAAACAAGCTGCCAATGAGAGTCGTAGATCGTCCTCAGAATTCAGTAAGGATGATTTGGGGGAGGGAAGAAATGGAAAAGATAAAAGCTCTAGTATGAAGAAGAAGATGAAGAAACAGAAAAAGAAAACGAGTGAGGCAAAGAATGAGAGTGAGTATAAAAAGGGGCTAAGACCAGTTCTTTGGTTAACACCAGATTTCCCACTGAAAACAGAAGAATTGTTGCCATTGCTGGATATTTTAGCCAACAAGGTTAAAGCTGTTAGAAGACTTAGGGAGCTATTAACGACTAAACTTCCTTCCGGCACATTTCCCGTCAAGGTATGAATTCATTGATCTTTATATGTTTTCTATATGCTGATGTTTCGTTTTATGTCGGTTTCTTGTTTAGGATTCTTTTTTTTAAATGCATATTGCTTCAATAAGGAATGAAATATACACAAATGGAAAGAAAATTTGGAAATATATAGAAGAAATAGGTAGTATTGCTGAATTTTAGATATGGTATCTTCTTGTGGTGCATGCATCTATAAGAATCAGAGAAGGGTTGATTACCTCTACCCCCTCCGTGGTTTGATCAATTAGCCAAATGGCCCTTTAAGTTTCTGAAAATGGGTCAATTAGACAATTACGTTCACCTCCCCTGTGGTTGGATCAAATTGCCAAATGGCTTTTTTGGTTTTTAAAAATAACAAAAGCGCTTATCAGTTCTTCCTTTTTTTAAAGCTTCAAATATATTAACCCATAAAATGGCATTAAAACCCCAAATTCACTCTGAGGGTGCACTATTTTTGTTTATACCATTAAATTCTTTAGCATTCCAGTGTTAAAATGGTTGTTGATGGAAAATCTGACTGGTGAAGGACCTTATTTGTAACTTTCAAAAACTTCTAGGATCATCTAGTAATTTGATCAAACTTCAGGGGACGTAAATATAACTAACACTAAAAGAAACTTTGTGCTCAAGTCAGGCATCTCTTGGAAACAGTCTCTCTACTTTAAGTAGGGGTAAGATTTGCGTACACAGTACATATACCCTCCCGAGACCCTACTTTTGTGAGATTCCACTGGGTTTGTTCTTTATTGTTGTTTGTTACTCGTGAGGCATTTCTGTTCTAAAAAATAGAGAGGAAAAGGATTGCATCATGCTGACAAAATGACTTTTGGACTCATCAGATTGCAATTCCTATAGTACCCACCATTCGAGTTCTCGTCACATTCACAAAGTTTGAGGAGCTCCAGCCAGTTGAGGAATTTTCAACCCCCGTGTCAAGCCCCACACACTTCCATGATCCAAAACCAGAGAGTTCAAACTCGTCATGGATTTCATGGATGAGAGGAAGCCACGGCGGTGCAGATATTGAAAGCCGAAAAAGCCTCATACAAGAAGAGATTATTGACCCTTTTCACATACCCACAGATTATACATGGGTGGATTCCAACGAAAAGAAACGCCGGATGAGAGCCAAGAGAGCGAAGATCAAGAAGCAGCAGCACAAGAAACAGACTGCCACTGAAGAATAGTATGTTTGCTTGGTTTCTTAACTGTTTTTTTTGTCTTTTCCCCCATCTCACTCCCTTTGTATGATGATGGCTATTGGCTGCTTTTGTATTGCCATATTCCATTCTTTGTTTCTTTAGATAGAAATGTAATCTTTCATCTTCTGCTTTCTGTTGTTGTATTTGTGCTTGGATGTGAATGATAGAACAAGAGATCCCACTTTCCTATTCAAACTGGAATTTCCAGAGTTGAAGCTTTGAAGTGCTGTGCCATCATTGCTGTTTTGTTTCAAGTGTAACTGTTTAGCTAAGTGTGTAAACCATGATTAAACCAAGTGAGGAGATGCAAGGGGCTCCTGACCTTATTCAATTGACAAGTATGGGTTCAACAAACTACATATGTAACAAAGCCATTTTACCTATTTACAAAAGAGGTGTTCAGTTCTTTAATTACAACATGTTATATGTACCCTACTGCAAATAACTCCTCATATGCTATCTATGGGAAGTGCTGAAAACTCGGAATGGCGGTTGAGATATGGCCCTACCAAAACCGGTCCTTGTTAACGCTCAAGAAACCGGCTGTGACTTTCCCTCCGGTATTCCTCATGCCGTCAACGAGGTAGCTCCAAGTCGAGCCCAATGGGCCAATGAAGAAGTCGGCTTCGGATGCCATCAAGAAGTTCATTAGTGGGTAGTTCGTACTCAATTTCCTCCCGAGGCTCGCTTCGTACGTTGCCATTGTTGCATTTCCCATTTGTCGCGTCACATTCGTGTAGTAGAATTTCCAATGGGGATACATCCTCGTCTTGTCAATCACCTCCTAAATTTCAAAATTTGACAAGTTTAACAAATCCAAATTTGAACAATTTGTGACAGTGTGAACCATCAAAATGACTAGAACTAGAAGACTGGGTTAATTTTTGCAATGTCTACGTATAGGACCTTTATATAATACCTGCATTTCAGTGGAAAGCCAAATGCGGTTTAGTTCGGGGAAGCTTTTTCTTATGCGCTCCGCAAGTTGCATGTAATCTTCGAACCCGACCACCTTCATTTCGCACGCCTTGTCTCCCATTCTAACATGCATGCTCAACAATGGCCTAGGGACCCACGACTTTTTACTCGACCATACATATTTTTCCATGTCATTTCCCGTCTTCTCCGCATCACCTTCTTGCTATAGCAAGATACATATAGAAATGTTCGTAAATATAATAAGACTAAAATATTGGACACAGCATTTAAACAGGACTCCCGACTCTTTTTATACCTAAATAAGAGTTGCAATGTCAACAACGACAATGACCTGTCAATGTTGATGACGGGTATCAATGACACACTAGATCCGGAGCTGGACCAGACCGGAACCGGCTCGTGTCCGACCCTTATGTGTGTTAATGTTTCAACGTGTCGGCGTCTACGTTTACGCCTACTTGGGCATAAAAAGAGTTAAACATATAATGGAAACAGATAAAAATGCATTTGGACTAACCTTTGGAAAGCTAATGGTTGGTGTTTCAAGAACCATTTTTGCAGCTTCATGACCAAATGCCAAATGCCTAGCAACGTTTAGTAAGCCGCATGTGTAGTCTGTCTGAAACCTCATCAAATAGCGCAACCCCTGATAATTGTATACACACAACACACATTTGTCACACATACTTATAATATATACTCCATAAGGAATAGAATTCAAGATTATTAGGCCGAGTTTCGTCCAAAAGAGGAGTAAATCATTGATAAAAACATCCACTCTTACTTGAGCCCTCCACCATCTCCGGTCCATTTTACGGTGATAACCGATTAGTGTCCCGTTTACTTCTGTCGTGGGCTGTAAATAACTCCATGGGCTGCCCCATAGCCTGGGAACGCGTCCCGCCCATATCTCTTTTGAGGTATAATTTTCTTTTATGGTTATGATCCCTTTATCCCAAGCTTCTTTCTGTCCCACAAGGTGAAACGCGCGCTCCCTGCATTCTTTCGATGTTTCTGGGAAGAAGTAGCAAGACCAACTAGAACGCGAACCTGCAAAGAAAAGGGTGATGAAAATGGCTGTTCATTGTCAGTGTCAACCTTGGTGTCATTCATGATGTAACTGTTGTAGCATGACCCCTAACATTAAAGCACCTTTACAACCATCATGATCAGCACGGTTGAAATAGTTCGTCACGAGTACCCTTTTCTGGTTAATGGCAATTGCTAGAAGACCACACATCCCTGCAAACTGCGCTCCCATGCCGAAACCCGGCAACCTCTCCCAATCCGCCACCAAGAACTTCACACTCCGACCGTTGCAGTCCAACGGGTGCTGATGCATCCAAATGTCGCGTTGCACTTTCCTCGTCAAAGGGTAGTTCTCTTCGTCCGATCCCTCTATCTACAACACAAATCATATGTCTCTTTGAGTTTTTCAAAAATGTGAAAAGAGTATAAAAACATTCATTAGCCTTCAACCACAGGTTCAGGCTTTTGGTCGAGTTGGTTCACATACCCATGGAGGATAAGCTCCTTCCGACATTGCATTGTGCCAATTATGCCCTTGGTGTTCACCAAAGGTGGACACCGGGAACTCATCTAGCATCCCCTTCCAAATGGTCCATGGAGGAAATCTTTCATTCCCAGCACGACTGTCGAGCCGTTTGTTCATCCTCACTCTTGACTTGCAGTTCTCAACATGAGGGGCTTTGGGCACATTGGAAGTTTTGCCACTCGATTCGTGTAGTAAATTACCCCACGATGAGTACAAAGATGCCACTTTTTCGCCTGCGGGAACTGTGATTTTTTCTTGTGAATGAACCCAAATTTGTGTCTTGTTCTGTTTAAAATCACAGTCATCACCTGCAACACAAGAGAGGATTATACATGTTAGAGTGCATCCCACATCGGAAGTTCAAGAGTAAAATAACCGGTATATAAGCTCTTGAGTTGGACTAACTAATCGATTGGATTCAATCTTTTAATGTGGTTCAACCAAGTGTCTTATTGCCTAATCCAGTTGTCCATACCCATCCTAAATTCTATCATGGTATCAGAGCCAGTTTTAGCCCACCTCGTTTGTCAAGGTGTCCGTCTAGACGTTCATTCCTAGCGGCCCGTTAGTCTTTAGCCCAGTTGTCCGTATGGATGTTGTACCCAACGGCCTGTGACCTGTTTAACACGATTGCTCGTCTGGAAGTTCATACCCAGCGGCTCGTGGTCCTTTAGGTGTTGGCGCTCAAAAAAAAGTCAAGGGAATGGGAGTTCATTTGCAAGTGGTCAACCGGTTAGATTCAAAATGGCCCGGTTGTCCACTTGAGGGGGAGTGTTAGAGTGCATCCCACATCGGAAGTTCAAGAGTAAAATAACCGGTATATAAGCTTTTGAGTTGGACTAACTAATCGATTGGATTCAATCTTTTAATGTGGTTCAACCCAAGTGTCTTATTGCCCAATCCAGTTATCCCTACCCCATCCTAAATTCTATCAATACATACCATTAATTTTCCAATCTCTGAAATGTAACATGTTTTGGTTTTCATAATCATTCCCTTACAAATCATGTTGTAAAGGTTCCTGTTTATTTTTCAGGTTCATGTTACTTGATTTTAAGGAAATAATTGAGTGGCTTGTATAATTTATTTTATAACCAAATGTACATGAACCTTAACCATGCAACCATAAATCTTTAGGACGGAGTAACTGTTTTGGTTCATCAAATCTGGAAAGGTTGTTAGGTGGACAAGGTAATTTTTTTTGTTAATTAAGGGTGTAATGATTATAATTACTTCACACTGAAGTTAAGTTAGATTTATGGAAGAAACTTGTAGAGAAAGACAAAATTCAGAAACTTGGAGGGTTTCAACTTTCCAAAGTAACCAAACGATTTGATACGTTACATTTCCATGAAGTTTAAGAAAAATATTGAAAAATGAAATATATATTTTAATTAGAATTTGTTAAGATGAACAAAAAATCTTGTGAGAGTCAGAAGTACATTACCAGAACAGAAATAAAGTAAATTGAAAATATGTTTTGGAACATCAAGAAAAAAAGGAAAGTGGATTTTGGGAGGGACTAGGGAGTAAAGACTAAGCATAAATATAAAAATGAACTTGCCCCAACTATAAGCCACTTGAAACTCACTCCTAGAACACAACTTTTGGACTAATCATGGAGTTCAATTCATTGATTAAAGACTCCAATCGTCTTTAATTTAGCCCTCCCCCTTTTGTTATGGTTGTAACACAAGAATAAAAAATTAACATATGGAAAACGCTAGCCACTTGTAAACAATTTTTGACAACACATTTGACATCATCTTTCTCATTGACATCTAGAACGGTTTCATTTTGTGTATGTAAGAAGGATGATGTCAAATGTGGTGTACCATGTCAATGAACCAATTCAACCAAAAGTTCAAGCTTGTGGTTGTGGCCCAGGAGTGATTGTTATATACTCTAACACACCCCTCACGTGCAGGCGTGATCTCTTTGAGCCTTGCACGTGAAACCTTAATTTTTTTAAATTGGGTGGCGGTGAGTTTCGAACTCGTGACCTCTTGGTCATCAAGGCTCTGATACCATATCAATGAACCAATTCAACCAAAAGCTCAAGCTTGTGGTTGTGGCCCAGGAGTGATTGTTATATATTCTAACAGCCAGACATGGTTGTTTACATATATGTTCAATCAATAAGGTGCATACAAGTGATACAAACATTAAGAGTGATATTTCTTCACAACGAAAATTAAGTAATGTAAATAATAAGGTTCTTTTTATAGGTGGACCTAAAAAAGTATGACACATTAAAAAAAAATGTCACTGGCCATTTTAAGAATTCCGTATTGGTTTTTACCCTTAACCCCGACAACCCTACAACCCCAGCCCTTAGAAATGCTGAAATGCTACACAAGAAAATACCAAAATGGTACAATTTATAGTAGCATTCTCATAGTTTTTAGAACCGGACCGGTAACCGAACCGGTCAAGGTACTGGTTCACTGGTTTACTGGTCGAACCAGTGGTTCAACTGGTCGAACCAGTGGTTTAAACATATTTCAAAATTATATAAATATAAATAAATAAATAAATATGTGTGTGTGTATGTATATTTATATGTATATATATTTACAAACACATACATACATACATATAGACACACACATTCTCATTTATAAATATCTAAAGAAAGTAATTTATAACATTTAAGTAATACTATATTAATATAGACACACACATACATACATATAGACACACACATTCTCATTTATAAATATCTAAAGAAAGTAATTTATAACATTTAAGTAATACTATATTAATATACTTGAGTTATTTTATAAAATTAAAAAATAAAATTTACATATTAAAAAAATATAAAAGAATTTTAAATGAAGAGTTGATTTTATTTTTTTCAAATAAGTTGTTTAATATTAAAAAAACGAAATCTTTGCATGATTTGCATTTTGTAATAGTATCAATAATATCAATGATTTTGTGTTTGACTCATAGCTATATAATATTAATAAAATTGAAAANACATACATACATATAGACACACACATTCTCATTTATAAATATCTAAAGAAAGTAATTTATAACATTTAAGTAATACTATATTAATATACTTGAGTTATTTTATAAAATTAAAAAATAAAATTTACATATTAAAAAAATATAAAAGAATTTTAAATGAAGAGTTGATTTTATTTTTTTCAAATAAGTTGTTTAATATTAAAAAAACGAAATCTTTGCATGATTTGCATTTTGTAATAGTATCAATAATATCAATGATTTTGTGTTTGACTCATAGCTATATAATATTAATAAAATTGAAAAAGAATTTGTATACAATCTTTTTTGTAATTATGAAATATTATAAAAGATTATGTGAACTTGTAACAAAAAACACCATTGCTTGGATGGTTAGGAGCTTAACCAAATGTCTAAGAGGTCTTGGGTTCAAACCCCCATGGAGGCATGTTTTGGAAAAAATCAGCAAAAAGAAAAAAAAAAATTGGGCGGACCGGTCCGACCGGCCGGTTCTTACCGGTTTAAACCGGTTCGGGCCTGTTCGAAGCAGGTTAGGTCTAATGGGCTGGACCGGACCGGTTGGACCACCGGTTCGCCGGTTCACGGTCCGAACCGGCCGGTCCGGTCCGGTTTTTAAAACTATGAGCATTCTACATTTCCAAGGGACAGTAGTGAGCCACTACCAGGTCCCAACGGAGCACCGTAGGGTCTGGGTGTCCCAAAACTAAAATCAAAAGAATCGTGACAGAAAAATATAAGCATATAAATACAGGAAAAAAAAATAAGAAGAGTATACTTAACTGGAAACAAGAGAAAAGAGAGTTGCGGGGGGGTTGGTGGGGCCGCCGCCGCCTCCGGGAACCCAAAAGGCACCGCCGAGCAATGAAGTGAGAGCGGCGAGGAAGAAGGAGGCGAGGAAACCGACGGCCGCACCCACCACGCACGGGAAGGAACTCCCCCCCACCTGAAACAGTGCCCTCTGTGAAACCACCCTCTCCAAACCTTTCTCCTTATTATTATTATTCATCATTTCCTCCATCCAAATCTCACTCTTCTTTTAATAAGGCTCGATCTGTTTGGGACCAAATTTTTAGCCCTTATTTAAGCCACTGATCACAAGATTCTGATGAGTGAGTGCTTCACATGAATGTATACATGAAACTCTGTTTAATCTTCTCTTCCCCTTTTCTCATTGCCAACTGAAAAGGTCAATCCATATCACATTATACTGCAAATATTTATTTATTTTTAAAACTCATCTAAATAAGATTAAAGCATAAAATAGTTAGACATTTTATGTTTTATTCTTTAAATAGGAGAATTGACTTTTAAAAAACTTGGTATTTCAAAATATTTTATGCATTATGACATTATGTTTTGGCATTGTTTTGCTATATAAATCCCATTTTAGTCACTTAGGGGAGATTTACTAAGTAAAATGTAATTTAATGGTATAAAAATAAAAAAATATGATATTTAAAATTTACATAAAAAAAAAGAAATATACAGAGTAACATTAGTAATGTGACTGTATTATTTTATAAAACGATCAATAAAAACATATACGCAATTAAAAATTGTCGTGAATTTAGAATAGTAGCTGAAGGTTTTATTTGGGTGTACATATTTGAAATAGAGGAAAAGTACTAAATTTTACCAGAAACGCTTAAAACTTGGGATTTTGTTGAAAAATTCAAACAGTTTTAGTTTACAGATAAAATATAATAAAACATGCAACAAAAAGTAAATAAATAAATGATAAACCAAACACAAAAGAGAAATCAAAAGAATTCACTTTCACTAACCTGCCCAATACCTACTCTGCTTCATCTTCAACTGCAAAACAAAAAAAGATTTTTTTTTATAGATATCAGATAGATTTTTCATGCATCATTCATTGACATGAACACAGATTTAATATATTTTTCATACAAAAAAAACATGAAATTTATCAAATAAAACTGCTCTCACCTGCAAAATTATTACAGAGTACTATATATATATATATATATATATATTCATACATAGACTGGAAGGATCATGTAGGGGAAGAAGAGAATTATGGGAAATAAATAGTGAAATGAAAGTAATAATTATATTGGGATTTGAGTGGAAGGTGAGAGATGAATAATTATGATGATTCTTTTGTAACAGCTTACAGGTGGAGAAGAAGAAGAGACAAAGGCAGATGCTTTATTTGCAGAAGAAAGGCACCTAACTAAACTAAATTACATCTCAAACCACAAATTTCAGTTTTTAAATTCATAGTTAAATAGGGACTACAAAATCTTACTCCTTTCATTTCAAAATGGTAAAGAGTATTCCTTATTCTAATAACGTCTTAAATCTCATCATTTTTAAGGTCAAAGAAGTATAATTGGTCCAATCTTGAGTTTTGACTTAGCAATGAGTAGTGTCTTAGACAGATCTAATTCATTATTTATCGCTCTAAATTTTAAATTTGTCATGGAAGTATGGAATCAACTCAACCAAAAGCTCAAGCTTGTGGTTGTGGTCCAGGAACGGTTATTTATATTCTAACAAAATTTAATGGAAGGATCCTAGAATGGGCTCATCCTATTTTGTAGAAAAGATTGTTAGGGGGGGGGGCGTTGTTCAACCGACCAAGAAGAAGTACGAACTGATGTTGAAAAAATAGGGGTGTTCAAAAATATTCGACTCAAAAAATTCGTCTACAACATGTTCCATTCCGAGCCTAAAATTAGATATTTGATCTGGTACCTTAGCTTTCGTATATTTCAGATCGAATAATCTAAAAAGACCGAACGGGATATTGAGATTTCGGATAATCAAACTTTATATTTAAAAAAAATAAACATAAAAACTAAACTTAAACAACATAAGCATGTAAGTCCAATTAAATTTGTGAGTGAAAGCCCAATTTGGAAAAAGGCTTTAGAGTGGAAATTGTTCAATCCATCTCTCTAAACTTAAACACTGAAAGCTGAAGAAGGCTTTAGAGTTTTCAAGACCCAATATTAAAAAGAAAGACACTCCGCAATATAATTAAAAAAAGAAAGGGGGGAAAATTTAGTTGTCAGAATAGTGATGAAGTGGAGGAATGGGGAAACTTTCAAAGAAACAAAAAGACACAAATTACAATCCCATCATCTGAATATTCTGTTCAGAGTGTTTTTTATCTGTGCACTCTCTCCTTAACCCATCTATGTCAAAAATGAGAAAGTTTTGGCGGCATGATCCTTTAAATAAATACGAAGTACTTGTATATTACCACTAAAATATTTCATTCATCTCAAAATAAACTTTCATTTTATGATTTTAATATTTGTAGGGTTAAATTTTAAGCATTTTTTCATGTTTATTCATTTAATAAAATACGCTCTTTGACTGTTAGAAAAAAATAAAGAGTGTATATATGTGCTTGACTTTCTAATTTTATCTTTGATGTGATGAGTAAAAATAAGATGTGATGGATAAATTATTTATGAAAAAGTATGATGTGATAGGTAGAGTAAAAAAATTAGAAATAAAAGTAATTTTTTAATTGAGATATTCAAATACAAACTTGTAAAAAAATTGGACTCACAACCAATAATATCATCATTGACCCGTCAACAAATTAAATTATATAAATTAATATTCTGACTTCAAATTCAAAATCAACTTGTATGGTGCAATTGAAGGTGGTGAGATGTGTGTTTGGGTCGAGGTGGGGTGGGGGGTTTACCGGAGGGATAGGAACCCTCAATTTTATGAACGAAGCACCGAAGCACTCCCAGGTCATCCCATGACAATGACGGGTAATGTAATAGGAACCTTGCCGAAGTTATAAACTTTACGCAGTAATTGGGCTATGTTTTGAAATTATAATTGGACTATTTTTAAAATTTAGATTTTTAGTAATGGTTCAAACTAAATTAACTTGTAAAAAAATATTTAACTTATAAACATGTTATAAACTAAAAATTACTTATCAATAATAAGTATCAACACAGAAAAACACTCTGTCATTTAAAAAAGTTAAAATATTTGACCCTTTGAAATAATATATTTTTCATCTTATTAAAAAATTTCAAAGTTATTATTAATATGGCCAAACTTTATTCTTTTTTTAGCTTAATTATTTTGTTACTTATTTTTTAAAATAAAATATTCATACTACCTTATTAGAATATACTCATAAAATATTTTCAATTTTTGAGTTAATTTCTTAATATGATATCAAATTTTGTTAATTAAGAAATCAAGAGTTTAAATCTCGCCGTCATCTAATTTAAAAAACCGCTCGTGCATGATAGACCTTGTAAATAAAGACCCAACTTGTTTTTTAAGACCCAACTTGTTTTTTAACTGAAATCCGACCTGAAAATACTTGATTTTGAACAAAGATTCACATTTTAACGATTCACACAGATAAAAAATGTTAGTTCAATTTAAAAAAAATTGTACTAACATTTTTTTCCAATGTAAATCATTACACTATCACAAATTGTCAGTGCATGACTTTTGGTGTACCCCTAGCCCTAGCATTACTCTAAATTTTAATGTACCGATAGCTTAATCCTAAATTTTATTTTGGAAGGAGCATATGATCACGCCTTATCACGGACTTGGGTCTTCCCAAAAGGTCTCAACACACAACAAAATACTCCGTTTATTATTCGGCCCAAAATGGTCCTCTTCCATCTGGTTTTGGTCCAAATTATTTTCTAATATGGTCTTCCTCTTATAAATTCAAAGTTGACTGATTGAACAAGTGATTTTAATTGTAACAAAAACATTATCTCACCGCAACAAAAATATTATCTCACCCTCATATTTTACTCTCAAAATATTATCATATAGCATAAAAATAACATGTGGTCATATTTGGATATCTTCATTTTTATTCTCTTTGCTCCAAAATAAATATTCTCTCCGTTCTAAAATCTTCTTCTTGTTTTTGTTAACGAAGTTTGGCCGACTTTATTTTCAATTCAATTTATTTGATTGTAAGTATGAAATTAAAAAACAAAATTTATATATTTATAAACTGTATCAAAAGTTTTACAAACAAGAGGCGACAAGACTATATTACTTTATCAAATAAATAATGAAAATAGGTAAATAAAGTGATTAAAGTTTGACCATGCAAATAGTAATTGAGAAGAATATTTTAGAACATAGAGGATATTATTTTTCTTGCATTCAAAAACATATTATTTTTCTTTAAAAAAAGAATATATATGTTTTTTCTTTAAAAAAGAAAATATTATTTTTCTTTAAAAAAATAAAAATAATATATATGTTTTTTCTTCAAAAACATATTATTTTTCTTTAAAAAACATATTATTTTTCTTTAAAAAAGAATAATATGTTTTTTCTTTAAAAAAACATATTATTTTTCATCAAAAAATGTACATAGACATAGACCAAGAGTCAAGACAAGTGATGACTTGCTCACTCCCACAAGCCCACAGGCCCACCAGTGGCTAACGGTCATATAATTTCAAATCCCATTTAAAAAGTTTAAAAAAAGGGACTACCCTTTTATCTTTCACCAGTTAAGGCCCTGTTTAGTCTTGTACCTAACAATCTTCAAACTTCCATTATAGCTCTTCTATATCATCTTTTCCATTTCTCATCCCCATTATCAAAACACTAGCAGCTATCACCCTACTTTTGACTCTCCAAACATGACCTGCTTTACTGCTTGTTGTTTCCCTGCTTCAAACCACAAGAAACTCATAAAGCCCACCAATGATGACCCCCTCCCTTCTTCCAAAAAACAGGTAATTACAGCAACTAATTCATTCCATTAATACTTTTTACCCTTTTTTCCCCCCTTGATATTCTCTTTTTAGTGGAGTAATTACTTTTCTTCTTCTACTTATTTAGTGTCTCCGCAATCTGCTCGAAGCCGATGATGAGAGTGAAATTATTATTATGAAATCATCTCACATTTTGAATTCCAAGTAAGATTTTTTTTATTTTTAGCATACAAAATCTTCCCCGGATATCGAACACCCTTTCAGTATGAGAGAGCCACTGTCGTATCATTGGACCACAAAGTCTTTGGTAAACAATAAATGATTACTTCATACGTCTTAAAATGATCTTTCCAATTTTACTTAAGATGTTTGACTGAAATTATTTTCTATTTCATTTATTTCATTATATCTACAAAACAAGAGGTGATATAATTATTTTACTTTATCAAATAAATACTGAATATAGGTAAAAAAGTGATAGAAATTTAACCATTTGAATAGTGATTGAGAAAGATCATTTTAGGACGGAGAGAGTACTAATGCTTTGTTGACTCTAAATCTCAGAGATGAAGAAGAGAAAGGCACATTTGATTTGGATTGTAAGCAAGAAGATGATGATGTGGCCGGGAAAGGGAATGAGAAGGATGAAGGCAGCAGCGGCGGCGGCGGCAAACCAGAGATCAGTACGGACTCGAGCTTCTTTTCGCTGCCGCTGAATCTTCTCACGCGCCACCGTGGTGGCTGCGACGAGGAAGACGAGGAAGAGTCGCTCTTCTCCCTGTCCATAGACTCCATTCGTCAGAAGCGTTCTGTGAATCAAAACGGCCGCAGGGACAGCGACCAGTCGGTTCAATCCGAACCGAACCAGATCGAAAACTCGGGTAGGCCGCGGAAAGTGAAAAAGATCACCCCATCGCCATTGTTGCAGGAGAAGCTTCAAGAAAAGGAAAACCTGCAGAAACTCGAGAACTCGCCAACAAGGAGGAGGAGAAGAAGAACAAAGTGTAATAAAGGGTTTGGGAAAAGGCCGATATTGGGGGCTTTGAATTGGAATTTGATTTCAAGAAATTAAAATTCATCCCTAATTTTAGTTTGACTTTTGGATAAAAAATTTGAACCAAAGATCAACTAAAATTGGAATGTGCAATGAAGGAGGTGAGATCGGTTCAGGTCGGTCCAAGGTGGACGATTATGGAGATAGGATATATCAATGATGGTGATCTTTTACATTTACATTCAAGAGCACCTCCATTGGTGTCATCCAACTACTTTAAAAGGTCATTTCGAGTGCAAGAGTTTTGAGACTCTCACATAAAAATCATTTTAGTACTTCGGACTTTTTTCTAAAGATTAATACTAGATTCACAAATAAAATATTTACAAAATTCACAAATTTACCAAATATGTAACAAATATTACTTGCGGGTGACACGACTTTAGTCGAAATAACTCTCAAGTCCTTCTGTTTTCAAGAAGATAATGGAGGTCCTTTCATTTTGTTTTAATGATTGGAAGGTGATATTCCATTTAATATTTTATCCATAAACGTTAATAAATGTATTTTTTCTTATTTTTTCTTTGATATTTTATGGTAATAACTCTTAAGTCGCTCCTTTTTTTATTTCTTTGTTTTCTTTTTTTTTTGAAACTTTTTTTGTAACATGTTTTTTTAGAATTTCTTCTATAAAATCGTATGAAAATTCAAAATTGTTTGTATGATACAAAAATAAATAAAATAAAAAGTTTTCTAAAGAAGAAAAAACCGAGTAAAATTGAAAAATAACAAAACAAATTTCCTCGGAAGTCCTCTAGATTCTTTTTTTAATTCTTTGTATGGAATATTAAAAAAAGATCTAAATTTTTTTTTGATAAGGTCCTTATTTCATTTATTTTTATATCATGCAAAATTTAAATTTTTGAAAGATTTTCTAAAAGAAAGTTTATAAAAAAATTTTTATGATAAAGGAAACAAAGTGAAAAAAAGAGACAAAGGAAATTAAACAAAGAGACTAAAGTAAGGGACCTAAAAGTTATTATCATAAAATGGTAATGACAAAAAAGGAAAGAATACGTTTATTAACGCTTATGATTGAAGTATTAGATGAAATGTCCTCTCTCAGTCATTACAGCAAAATGTTAGGACCTCTGTTACCTTCTTGAATATAGAGGGACCTGAGAATTATTTCGATAAAACTTGTGTCACCCATAAGTAATTTTCTTAATATGTAAAGTAATAGGTTCAAATAATACTTTCAAATAATTAAAAAATAAAAACTAAAGTACACAAGTGATAAGTTTGTGTATGTTGTGACTATTTTGTTAGTAATTTTAACATTACTCTTTTCCAAACTTTCACAGAAGCTATCTTAATCCTCATATTTTATCATATCTGCACTCCAAAATCTTTTATTATAGAATAAATTTCTAAAATGGTCCATTCTAAAGAGGTGTTTTATCAATTCAGTCTTCGATAAGTTTTAATTACCTACATTATACTTTATCATTGAGATTTAATCTCTAAGTAGTCTTTCATATAAAATGTCACTTAAATAACGATTAATTTGAAAGTATTTTAGATTTCCATTATCTAGATTAAAGTAATTTTCAAAATGGACATTTATATAAAATTTTATGTAAAATTAGAACAATTATTGATTTTACATAATCTATGAATTATAAAAAAATCTATCAAAATATTTTAAAATATTAATCAAATACACCTCGTACTTGGGAAAGATCATTTTGGAAAAATACTTCATTAAACCAATCATTTTCAGAACTTATGCTAAGTTAAGATAATTACAAATATCAAAATATGTTCCACTTAATACACATTTGAGACCCATTAGAGGACGAAATCAAGAATTGGTAGGAGAAATTCAACCCGGGCTTAGTGGTTTTCTGCGCATTCGGGAGCGAATGGATTCTCGAAAAGGATCAATGTTAAAGTGCATCCCACATCGGAAGTTCAAGAGTAAAATAATCGGTATATAAGCTCTTGAGTTGGACTAATTAATCGATTGGATTCAATCTTTTAATGTGGTTCAGCCCAAAGTGTCTTATGGCCCAATACAGTTGTCCATACTCCATACCCATCCTAGTGGCCCGTTTAACACGATTGTTCGTCTGGAAGTCCATACCCAGTGGCTCGTAAAATAATCGGTATATAAGGTCTTGAGTTGTGCTTTGTTTGGTAACAACATTTTCGATTAGCGTTGGCATTTTGGATAAAATTTTAACGGTGCAGATTAATTCTGAAAACGCTAACGCTAAAGGCTACCGTCGGATAGCTTTTTCAAAACGCTAACGCTAATCTCTGACGCTAATGCCAAACGGGGCCTTGGACTAACTAATCGATTGGATTCAATCTTTTAATGTGGTTTAACCCAAAGTGTCTTATGGCCCAATCCAGTTGTCCATACACATCCTAAATTCTATCAACCAATTCCAAGAGCTAGTTCTTGGGTTTGAGCTGGGAAGGGCAAGCTATAATTTTTTGGGTTCTGTGCGGCAGATCATACCAACAAGTGTCCTACGCAAGGACAGTGGGGCTTGAGCTTGGAAGGGCATCCATCAATCAAAAAGCATTGAATTGAATTAATAAGAATGACGACAACCCTGCTGCACATTAAAATCTGTACACCAAAAACATTAACATCTTGATGACTCTGATTCGGGAAAACAGTCGGTTGAGAGAGGTGGCAGCTGATCAACTCATCTATATATACATTTCCTTTGCTAACTAAATAGATATAGATACATATATACACATATATAAATATACTTCAAAAGAAGAAGAAGAAGAAGAAGAAGAATGGTGAAGAAAGAGGGGATGGATTCATCATCACCATCACCATCATCAAAGCTTCTTCACATAGCCATGTTTCCATGGCTGGCCTTGGGCCACATGATCCCATTCATGCAGCTGGCCAACGAATTCGCAAAACGAGGCCACACCGTCTCGTTCTTACTGCCCAAAACGGCTCGCCTCAGACTATCAAACGCAAATCTTCATCCTCGCCTCATCACCTTCCGCACTCTCTCCGTACCTCACGTTAAAGGTATAAAACCAGAGGTTTTGGTTCAGTTCATTCATTGACATGGTATCAGAGCTTTTCTTGAGCAATAAATCTAAGTTTAGATTTTACACACATTTTATTGTGGTAGAACTTATCAAACCAAAATAAATCGCTTTCACTTTTACCTCTGCATGCAAAATGTTAACATGACAATATTTTGGTTTCGGACGCATAATGGGCTAAATCAAAATGATGCATTAAACTTCTGTTTCTTCTTACTTTCTTATTAAGTTTTGGGAAGTTAATGCATTCATGCATCTAAAGAAGTTGCAAAATGTTAGAAATGTAAACTTCTACTTCCATATGAAATATTCACAAATGATGTATGCTGTTAATAGGTCTCCCTTATGGCGCCGAGACAACATCCGATACGGACAACTCATTAGCGCTGTCATCAGCCATGGATGAAATGCAGGAGCAAGTGAAGGCGGTGCTTGCGGAAGAGAAGAAGCCGGACATCATATTCTTTGATTTTGCGAATTGGATCCCGAATTTAGCCTCGGAGATGGGCTGCAAGGCAGTGTTTTTCAGTGTGGTAAGCCCTGCGATAGCTGCAATCACTCTGCTGATCTCCACAAGCAAAGAGAATCTGTTGACAGTGTCTGATGTAATGGAATATCTCCCGAATTACCCTTCTTCCAATGCGCCTGTTCTTTGCAAAAACGAAGCACGAGCTTTGGCAGGGTATGCTAATCAACCAAACAACTGGATGATAGAGTTCCTTAGCAAGGGTGTGATAGGAGCCAGACAGAGTGATGCATTGGCAGTGAGAGCCTGCAGAGAAATGGAAGGGGCCCACTGCGACCACCTCTCGGTGCTGTATAAGAAGCCAGTGTTTTGCACAGGTCCTCTCTTCCCTGAGCCTACAGATGAGCCACTAGATGACAAGATTTCAAATTTTCTCAAGAAATTCGGTTCTGCGTCTGTGGTTTTCTGTTCATTTGGAAGTGAACTTTTTCTCGATTTTTCCCAATTCCAAGAACTGGTTCTAGGCCTTGAGCTCACAGGGCTACCCTTTCTTCTGGCTGGAACTAAGCCACCAAAAGGGACAACATCAATCCAAGATGCCTTACCAGAGGGATTCCAGGAAAGGGTAAGAGAAAAGGCGGTGTTATACGAAGGGTGGGTCCCACAGACTCAGATTCTAAGGCACACATCAATCGGGTGCTTTGTGAGCCACGGCGGTTCGGCGTCAATGTGGGAGTCATTAGTGAGTGATTGCCAGATAGTGTTCGTGCCGACTAGGGGAGACTATTGTATGAATGCCAGGCTCATGGCCGCAGAGCTTCAGCTCGCAGTGGAGGTGGAAATGGATGAAAATGGCGGGTTTTCAAAAGAGAGCCTTAGCAGAGGTGTCAAGGCAGCCATGGATGATGATAGCGAGGTGGGAGGCCAGCTGAAGAAGAACCATAAGAGGTGGAGGGATGTGTTTCTGAGCAAAGGATTTGCTGACAATTACATAGGCAAATTCATTCGTGATTTGGAGAAGCTTTTGTGAGGTTAAAAAATTAAATGAGTGACCCTTGAGTCTATGGAGAAAGTCTAAGCAACAAACTAGCTTGCTCTTATGTAAGTAGTTTTTTTTATGTAAGTCCCTCTACTGCATTTCATGTATGACTGTGTTAGTGTGTTTGGCTATCATAATAATGTTATAATTAGGAGATTTGAGATTTTCTGGATCATTTTTTAAGCTCTCAATATTCTAAGTTTAGGTATATAATTCAGTCAAAGTTGCCTTAATGACAAAGAAACGCCTAAACATGGGAATCTAGCCAATTCCCTCATAGAGTTCAAACCCCACAGTGAAAGTAGAGGCAACAGTGAGTATAGGATGGCCTGAGGACAAAGTAGACATTTCCAGATCAAGAGTAATTTGAGCACTTGTTGAGAAGCCAATCACAACCTTGTGGCATCAGAGAGTGCTGGAAGAAATAAATCAAGAAACACGAGTGCAGATATAAAAAAAGAAAAACCTCCCTTTGGAAGGTTCGATTATGGCTCCTATAAAGTGGGAAGCCCGATATTTTTACCAGAAAGATGAAGTTTGCATTGAGCATATACTAGTACTTCCAAATCAAGCAATATACAAGTAAAGGAACATAGCTGATATATTCTATATAATAAAAAAAAACAGAACCTGTCAATCAAGCAAAAAGTCCTTTGTAGAACCAGGACTAGAGAGAAGGTCGAACCGCTTGCCAAGTGTGTCTTTTAAGATTGTGATCTGACCTTCTTTGAGGAGTATGTCTTCATCCAGTGTTTCCATCTTCTTCTTTATTGCATTCATCTCAGAATTCATCAACGTGTTCTTCTCACTGTAATGCTTAACCTCCTCCCACATTAAGTCTCTCTCCTGTGTTACTTTGGGTAGTATCCCCTTCAACATTGTCAGTTCCTTCATGCACTCTTGGAGATCAATCTGAAGCTGATCTATATTTTCATCTTTCTTGATCCTCTAATGAAGAAAAAAGGAAAAGAATTCAGCACAACACTTTCAAGAAAGAGCTAACCACAAAACTGCAATGCAAGGCTCATCATATGGATCATAGCCAGCTGTATAGTTTTTTAGAAAGAAAAAAAATCATTCGAAAAGCCTCAAAAATTTCCAGAAAGTCTTCATGTGACTGTGCAGTCTCCAGGTGAACTGCAACTAGTGTGTTAGAAAGGCAAGACATAAGCTCTCATCAAACACATAAAACTGTCGACTCACCTCAAGTTCAAGGTCTTTCATCTTGTGGGTAAGACACGAAAGGCCATCTCGTGCATTTTGTAACTCACATTTAAGCATGTCATTAACCCTGACAGAAGCTGCCAGCTCAGCTTGAAGTTGCTCTATATCTACTTCTTTCGTATAAAGCTTCTCCCTCAACAAACGTGTAAGCAAAGTCTCTGCTTTTAACTCAGACCTCATTATATTCTACGGATAAACCAAAATAAGGCAAAATAATATAAATATTAGTAGAAGACAAAGAGATTATTATTTTATAAAGAAGTAACACAACCAACTTACTTCTGGATTCTTATCATTTGATTGGCATATTCTACTCTCTAAACAAGGTAACTGAGGTTCAGACTTATCATGGAACACATCCATAACATTCTGTAAGCTCCTTGCTAGATTTTCAACCCCCCTCCTAAACTTGAGAATTCGAATATCAGATTCAACGATGAATTGACCATCCATGTCTCCTGCATTAGCTTTGATGCATTCTAACAACTTTCCACAAAGAATGGTGCTTTCTTTAAGTAAAGATAGCCCTTGGGTTTCCAAGCAGCACACACGGTTTTGCAACTCTTGATCTAGCTTAAATGTTGAGAGTCCATCCTCAGCCTTACCTCCATTTAAGCGTTCCAATAAATGTATGTTCTCAAGCCGAAGTGAATCAACTTCAACCCTGTAAGACTCAACTTCTTTCCTTAGACTACACTCCACTCCTACCAACCTCATTTGTTCCATTCTCAACTTTGATAATTCAATATCAAAATCTCCCATTGTGTTTTTCTTGCTAACTTCCTCATAGAACACTCGTAGTCCATCGATTGTCCTCTCTTGTTCACTGCAAGTCCTTTGTAATCTGGCAATGGATCTATGCAAGTCTTTGCATTCTTTCACCTTGTCCTCATAGTTCTTTCTGATGCAGCATTGCTCCTCGTGTGCTACCTTGTATTTCTCTTCAAGCTCGTGAACATTTCGCTCTAAAATCATATTCCTCTCTCTTTTCTCCTCCACACTCCGTGTAAGATCACCAAGTTGTTTTTCTGAATATGATATGCTACTCCTATTTTCCTCATCCTTGTCGCTGAGGGAAGACACTTCCCTTTGAAGAGAAACATTTTGCTCAGCAAGCTCCCTGATCCTTTCACGAAGCCGATGTTCTTCTGTTTGATACTTTTCAAGCTTGATAGACCAATCACTTGATCTTCTGTCCAACTCCTTTTCCAGTGAAGACTGCAACTCGTTCTTCTCCATCTCCAACCTTCGAGTTTGAGTATCTAGTTTATCTTGTAACGATCCGATCTCTTCTTTGGCAGAAGCTCTCTCAGTAATTTGTTCTTTCAGAGCATCTGAAACCTCAATGGCCATTTTTAACTTTTCTTCAGTCAGATCTCTAATCTTCTGAATCAATGCAGGAACATTGAGTTCTTCGCGCTGAAAAAAGTTCAGTTCCTCAAGATCTTCAGAGAGCATCCTTGCCCGTTCATCAGCTTCTTTGAACTTTTTATACAGTTCAAAATCTGAATCCTCCACAGCATAAAGAGTTTTCTCGGTGCTGAAATTAGCACTTGAGAAAAAGTTCCTTTCTTGTAAGCTCGGAACCGAATCACCATGATACTCACTGGTTGTGTCATTCAATCCATTTATTGAATAGTGATTCTGAGATATGCCATCAGAACATACATTAGAATGTCTACTTCCATTCCTCTTATAGATATCTTCAATTGTAATCGGAGTATGAACATCAAATTCTTTTGAAATCTTCTCAGAAAGCAATTGGGATTGAGAAAGCCTCTCAACCACTTTTCTGGCAAGTTTTCTAGGAGATTCATGCCCAACACCATTCTCCATCAACTCCCAAGAAGACAGATACAATTGTGTTCCTGCATTCTCTCTGAAAGATCGGCATTTAGGATTTTGTTTCTTAATGTTTGGTGGTGAACCAGGTGCCATATGATGGACTTTTGGAGGCAATTCGTTACTTGATCCACTCCTTTCAAACGCTTGCTCCCCGTCTATATAACGGTCTAAAACGTTACTTGAGCTGTGGGAAGAGTTGTCTGAGAAGTCATTGGGTGGTATGAATGAAGAACTATAATCATTCCTCACTTTGTAAGAAGTTTCAACACCAATTGAGTGCTTGGATTGTGGCTGCCTCTCAGTACTACGTGCTCGGTCACTGAAAAAAAACATAAAAAGAGGAACCATGAATAAGTTATGAATTGAAAATATTATATCACAAGTCTCATGCTCCTATAGTCGACACTAAGAGTGAAAATTGCACCCACCCACCCACGCGCCTCCACAATAATATTCTACCATATATATAGTTATAAAGGAAAAAATGAACAGAGAAAAATCATAATGCAAATGTGACAATATTGTTTGGAGTACGATTTGCACTCGTGGGATGCGAGTACACATAGCATTCGCACATTCCTCCTTCCAGAATGTTAGGAACAATTATAATAATTCATTTGCTTTGTGGTAATTGTGATCAAGTGCCACACCATGTGAAATGTAAAGTATGAAAAAAAGATCTGAACTCAAGAGAGTAACATAGAAATGTTTCTGCATACCAAGCTGCACGACGGCCTGATTTCCTAAGTTGAGCACTACCACGACTTATGGACTCACTTCCATCCTCAAGATTCCGTAGTGCCACTCCATTGTCAACCGATGTAGATGAAAAAGATAGACTCCTTCTAAGCGATGGGGTATCGCCAAAATTGTAATGTTCTAAACTTTGTTTTCTACTTCTAGACTTTTCAAGGGTGTCTACTCTTTTTTCCCAATTGCACTCTTTGTCCTTTGATGGTGGGGAGATGTCATTCCCAGCACTAGAAGTACTTGATCTGAAAAAGAACAGCTTCTTCATCTTTATATCATGGGAAATATAACTAAACCTGCATGATAAGATGATTGTCAAGATCACCAGTTGAAATAATACCAAATGCCATTGATTAATGACATCAATCATATTATAAAATTCCCATACACAAACTGTGATGATTCTATTTAGCATTTAACCAGGGTGAAGTATAAATCTAGAAAGAAAATTGTTTCATTCAATTATTTTCAAGTAAAACTCATAAAAGAACAGCGTGCTAGTCATAGAAGCACACAAAGCTAATAGGACAGTATATAAAAATTTTAGAAAGACTTGCAAGCAATGTAATATACTTTAAACCTTCAACAGAAGTACTATTTACTTCCTAGCAGGATATCAGGAATAGGTAGAGGTGAAATTTAAGTTGTCTACACATACTCTTTGGTTTTACCATTCTATCCAAATAACCCAGGGTTTTGCCTTCCAAAACAATATTGATAAACAAACTAAAAAGATACAGAGCATTACATATTGCAAAAGATTAAAAAAGAAAACAAAAAGGCAGATAATATAGTCATAAAGCATATATTTCAGCAGCCCTTCATTAGTCATTAGTACCACTCAGTGCAGAGCAATGAGAAGCAATCATCATGTTTCTTAGTGTTGGATTAAAATCCACTAATGTCAAGTTCTTTGATAATAAAAAAAAGGAGAAAACAAAAAAGCCCAAAACCCATGATCTGTATACTTCAAGGAAGTGCTAATTCAATCAACCAAAGAAAAAATATTTTATAGAAAAAATAAATGGATAACCAGAATTCTTGAACTAAAAAAAGGAAAAGAAAAGAAAGAAAGAAAAAAGAAGCCCAGATTCATACCTTCTCAAATTGACCTTTCCAGAAAATCAAAATCCAGTCCAGCTAGAGGTTATCTTCTGGTAAAGAAAAAAGAACAGAAAGGAAATGAGAAATGTTTCCTTCAAGAAAATCCAAAGTACAGAGTGACCGTTGGAGTAGTAGAGGCAAGAAAAAGAGTCCAAATTAGATGAATTAAGAGCATTTAAAACATTTCCAAAACAAAACAAAACAAATCTAACTCGCAATAATTATCAGGAGGAAATCTGACAGCCAATTATAGACACGCATTCAAAAATGTGAATGGGAATTCGAATTTCAAAAAAAAAAACAAAATCCCAACATTTAATTACAATTAAGAAATTCAATAGTTACTTCTACCATTCAAAATCAAGCATCACCATACTCAAGAATCGACCAGAACTGGTGAAACAATCCATTAGGATTCATCAACGCATTCAAATGAAATGGATACTTCAAGATTGGGAGATTACCCGGAAACTCAAAGAATCCAACTCTGAAAGAGAAGGGAAGTGAGCGATGGAGTCAGGAAGTGGAATGATGACTGATTTGGAGAAGAAAAGTGCTGAAATTGCAGAGAACGGAATTTTCATAACAGATCGAGAGAGACGGGTAACAAGGTGGAGGAGGGTGACGGAGAAAATGTTTGAAAACTTGAAGAGGAAATGGAAGTGGGCCAGTGGAAAATCGTGGTGGGGGTATTGGGGCGCTCTTTGGACCTTTTTTTTTAGCCAGTTGTGCAATAAATGTTGGGATTTTCCTAGATTTACTTTTGTTTTAGATATTGTGTTGGTTCCGAAATGATTTTCACTCCCTTATCCCTAATTTGTAATTAAATTAGAAATCACTCTAAATAGGACTAAAAATATATTGAAATCATATTTTGATATATTTTCAATGTTTTAGTCCTATTTTAGTCTTTTTCCCTAATTAAATTGGAGTTTACGAAGAAAAATATCTTACTTTTGGAAATTATTTTATTTACAGTATATCGATAAGAAAATAAAAATTACATATTAAAAAATTACCAAGTACGTTAAAAGTTATACAAAACAAGAGGTGACAATAATATTTTATTTTATCAAGTACTTAATGAAATCGCGTAAACAAACAAAAGTTATCGAAAGGGAGAAAAAAAATTGTGATCAAATTGGGGACAGAGGAAGTATTTGATTTTTCTGAATTAAAGTTTGTAAACTTTGACTCCGATATGTAAAAAAATAAACTGAATTATAATATAAATTTTAGAATCATCCTAAATAGGACTAAAACATAGGGAAAAGTACCAAAATAGGACTTTCATGTTTTTTTCCCGGAATAGGACTTTGCATTGTGGTAATGTGACTTTGCATTGTGGTAATGTGGCAGTGTACATGTGCAAATTACTATACTTTCTTGGTAATGTATATGACCATGTTTGGTAATGTAAGTCCTATTTCGAGAATAAAAACATGGAAGTCTTATTTTGGTATATCTTCAATGTTTTAGTCCTACTTTGGTCTTTCTCTCTATAAATTTAATATCAATATATTCCTATTGAAACGTAGTTTTGAAATATCATTTTTTCATAAATTATACTCCCTCTGTCCACCATAAATCTTCTCAAAAACTATTCACAGGGTCAAACTTTACTCACTTTGTTTGCTCATTTTTACCAGTCATTTCGTAAAATAATAGTCTTGTCACCTCTAGTTTTGTAGAACTTTTCATGTAGTTTATTACTATATAAATTTTATTTTAAAATTTTACTCCTATAATAAATTAAACTGAATTGAAATGAAATCGGTCAAGCCTTGTAACGCGTAATGGGAAGATCTTAGGTGGACGGAGGGAGTATCTATGTATAAATATAGATATTAATGATCAAATTGCAACATCGGAGACCGTGAAAAGTCAAATGAGATGAATATTTTCAGGCGGAGGAATACAATTTAGTAGTAACATTAATCTTTTCAAGCAAAATTTACATTATTAAAAAAATTATTCAAAATATTAATGTTTGAGGAGCTTGCGGATCATTAGTTAAGGAATTAACTATTAATAAAAGTTATAAAATTATGCAAGATACATGACAGAACTTGTTGAAAGTCATTGTCACATTTTTATGAGGCTTGTGGCAATTGGTTGAACAAAAATGTTTTGCAGAATCTTTTTAAGGCATGCTCTTAAAATGCCCCACAAACATATATTAACGAATTGTGTCTCCGTAATCCTAAAGTCCACATAAAAAATATAGACTTTCTCCCACTTTCAAGAGCTTACAAGAAGATTTTTCCTTTCTTACAAAACCTCAATTCTTACATATAGTTTTGTACAAATGCCTATAAAATAAGTATAGACCTAAGAATACATAAAAATTTGCCATGATTTATATTATTTCATCTAGAATCTGAAGTGAAGATAGTAGAGGTCTGGAATATTAAAGTTATACTCCGTATTTCTTTATTTTTAAAATTAACGTCCTATTTTGAATTTTGTATTTTCTTTTTTCCACAAAATAAGTGTAATTTTAAATAAAAAAATCTTACTCCGTACTCCATAAGAAATGATATATCAAAACTACATCTCAATGTTAACCCATTTAAATTAATTTTATATTATAAATAACTTTTTTTCACAACCAGTGATCAAAAGGAATTAAAAGGATGGGAGCACTCTGGTTTTGATAAACTTTGATGATTGAAAAACTGGTAGGGGAGGAAGTGAAGTCTAAGGACTCAATCAAAGGCACGACAAATTGTCGTCAACGCTGGGTCATGCCTATCATCGTACGGCCCATACGGATTTGGGTAACCACTAGACAGTAGCGCAAGGTGAAGGCGTTCATATCTATATTCACATGTGTTTATTTTTATCGGTTGTGTTTACATTGGTATTTGTATTAGCGTCTTAGTGTATATATATATATTCTTTATGTATTTGCATTTGGGCTCCTTGTTTGTATCACTAGGGGGCTCCGATACCATGTAGAATTTTGAAACTGAAATGTTTGATTGATCCATTGATACAAAGGCTTATATAAATTTACATGGTAGATACAAACGAGGAGACGAGGGGCGGGGGCTCCTCGTTTGTATCTCCCATGTAAATTTATATAGGCCTTTGTATCAATGAATCAATCAAGCATTTCAGTTTCAAAATTCTACGGTTTGTAAAATATTATGAAATATCGAATTCTGGTACTAAACACTCACAATTGTGATGTCACCGTATCTTGTGTGAGTGTGAAGATGAAAGTGTGCCGACAATGAACCCGGCCATTAGTTAGAATGTCACGTCAATAATATTAAGATGTTGTATTGCGTTCTATACTTGAGTGTAACCGAATTAGGCATGCCGATCCAGTTGTGTTTGAGGAGCTCCTCGGGCTATGAAAGATACATGCTAGAACTAGCTAGTCGAGAGTTAGTATCGATTTTCAGGTGAACTGGTAACAAGCTCACTCTCCACTATTTATGGCGAAGTTCACCCAGATTCGAGCCCCAGCGAAGGTGAAGTATTGGCTCTTTGTGCGTCATTAGGTTGAGAATAGTATGAACAGATACTACCTTCTAATATGGTTAATAGCATTTAAAAAACAATGACCAAGAGACCATCCTTTTGTGTGTGAGCTTACTAGTTTAAACTATTTTGAGAAACCAATTTTTAATTTTAATTCCTTCTTCATCACTACATACTTTACAAAGATTATTTAAACTTCCTTCAAACTTTTGATCTCGCCTGTGTGGGAGCTTCTAGGATATAAATGTCCTTTCCAAAAAAGATGTTTGCCACACAAGGGCATAAGGATATTCTCTATGCAAAGAGTCTTCAGAAAAACTACCCAATCCTCAGACCGAGTTTGCCACCTCAATATTTCATTATCTTTTATTCTATTAACTTTTATTTCTATTTAAATTGTTATCTAGTACTCCGTATATAATTATATTATACACTATCTTTTCAACTAAATTTATTAATATAAGTAACCATTTAAAAGGTCAACAAAATAAATTTATAGAGAAAATTATATAAAACTAACACACATAAAACAAAACAAGTAAATTTTTTTAAAATCATTCAGGTAAATACACATAAAACATAAATTGCATAAAAACACTAAAAACACAATAAATTAAAATTAAGGAAATCATAATTAAATATAATTATGTTCAACAAAAAAGGACTACATAATTAAATACTCCGTATAACTGAAGACATGTTTAACGGGAATAAAAACAGTCGGTTTTGCTCCTTCATGTGTTTCTATCTTTTATTCCCAAAAAATTAATATACTTCATATAAAATTACATAAAAAGATGTGCTTTGTTTATAAAAACAATACTCCCTCTTTCCCAATTTAAATCGTCTATTTCAGTTTACGATATTTGACAAAAATTATTTTCAAATCATTTCAATTTGAAATAGAAAATAAAATATAAAATTGATTAAAATAATAATTACAAAAAATAAGAACATAACAATGTAAATAGAGAATTGATTTAACAATATAAACAAACATTTTTCGTAATTATTACTCCATATTTTGAAATCATTATGTTGATGTAATTTTATATTTGAACCCGAAAATCCAAAGGAAAGCCATTGCATTATATCAATGTAATTTTAAATTTGAATTTTAATAAAATATCGACTTACTAATCTTATTTTAAGTTATTTTCATTTAAATGTATTTAAAAAATTGGGCGTAGTGGGCGTATTTCACACCTGTGCGGTATAATGGTGGTGAGATGGCCTCTATGAGAAAGAAAAAAACTAAGGTGGCGATGAGTGAGATGGTGTGATCCATCACACCACACCATATGGTTTAAGTGATGATGAAAAAGAAACCTAGTCTGTAAATAGCTCGGGGCATTTTCTACGCACTTATCACTAATTATGCATTGAATATTAGAAAGTGATGACATAGTGAAAGTTTAAGACAAACACCCTTTTTGGGAAAAACACAAAGTTCAAGTTGTGGCATGAAATTACATAGTCTAATGGAGATAGAAGCACACACATATATAAGCGATATCCATTTCCATAGGCAGTCTGAACCAGTAAAGCTCAAAGAGTCTTTCAACGCAAATGCACAAAACGAATTGAAAGGCGAAAATCACAACAAATCAGTACGATAAGTAGCATGGCATTGGCACAACTTAAGGAGACTCACTGCCTCTTGGGGAACGACGCTTCTCGTCTTCAGATGGAGTTTCACTGCGCCTACGGATAGGGCTATTGCTGCGACTGCGAACATTCTCTTCGGGAGGGCTCATATTCTTCTTCTCATCATCACTTTCGGACCCATCATTGGGGCGGCTCCTTCCATTTTCAGGACCACCATTGGCTGGTCTATCATCCTGGGGTGACGGCGTGCCTCTTCTCCGAGGGCTCCGTTCATCAGGTGAGGGGCTGCGGTATCTCTCTTTTGATGGTGGTGGTGAAGATTTGCGCTGTCTAGGTGGACTCCTGGACCGTCGTTCCAGACTGTGTTCTCTCTCTGCAGGTGATCTGGATCGGCTGATGAGACAAAAGATAAAAATAGAATCACATGTATTAAAAACATGCTTGATTCTTGTTCCTTGAATCTATTAAAGTGAAATGACAGGAAAATGGCACCACATAAGAGACTCCAAAATATTGTATGTCACACCATTTTTTTTCTTTTCATTTTCCTTCCCTATCCAAACAATGTAAATGTGCGCTTTCTCTTCATTTAATTTCCAATTACAGCTTCTCAAAGTTTGTGTTCTATTATTTGAACTTTTTTGAAGGGGGTGTTGGGGGAGAGGGAGCAAACCTGTAACTGCGACCCCTACTATAACTACGACTTCGGTGCCTGTCACGGCGTGGAGATGGTGATCGAGAGTAGCTCCTTGCACGTCCACTGTAATTCAAAAACATTATAAACTTCTGACACATCTGCAAAAACAATATTGTTTCACTATTGTACTACTCTGATAAAGAATAAGTGCAACTAATATCACACCTTGACTTTTTGGAACTCTCGTGGCAGTTTTTTTCTATATGCCCACGTTCCCCACAACGATAGCATTTGTTCTTCCAGTCTCCGTCCTTGCAATCACGAGCCCAGTGGCCCTCAATTCCACAATTGAAGCAGCGCCCTGTTCCTGGAGCAGGAGCTCTTCCAGAATATTCACGAGATCCACCAGGTCCGCGTGGAACCTATGATGAAAAAGTGTAAGAATAAAACTTGCCAAGACAAAACAATGCAAGGAATGTTATTTGAAGTTTGAACACGGGGATGAGAAATATTTGTGTAGAGCAGAAACTTGATGACATAGATTACCACTAGTTCCGTCACAAATTATGGTAAGCTTTAACTTTGGTGTAAGTTTGGTAGTATTATTATTAGTAAGGTACACTTATTAGATAAAATCAATTTTGGCTAAATTCTAAAAATTAAAACGCTTTACCAAAATTTAACATAACTTGTTCAAAGCACCTCATCTCGGAAAAAGGCATTAAATATAATAAAAGTTGGCTTCTTTGTAATTTTGGAACAAAACTTATTTCTCAAATAGGAATCTTTTTTGGAGAAAAATAAACATATAGATGAAATTGATGTCCTCATGGATAATTGGATATGATGGAAGCATGTCATCATTTAAATTATGAAGATCCTAATCCTCAAGCTAATGAAAAATCACCAGAACATGGTACACCCAAACAGCATTTTCTACTGGGAATTTCCATTTCAAGTGCCACTTCAAAGATCAAGCTTACCCCCTTAGCAATCTGCACGATGATGCGACTCCCATCAACTTCACGTCCATTCAGCCTGTAGATGGCATCATCTGCATCTCGAGGGTCACTAAATTCCTGTACTTATCCAGTTCAGTGAAAAGACAGGCTGGAAGCTCTACTCACATATAAAAATGACGAGAAATTCAAGGTGGACATGAACTTGGCATGTTATCAAGTGTCATTGTTATGTGGCACACATTCATTGGATGTTGATGATCAAATGGATGGTTTTCCAAAACAATGCACTTTAAATGACTAACTTCCATGTCTCCCTAAATTTATTTATAAAATAATAGGAATACATACCACAAATGCATAGTCACGCTTCATATCTACATCACGTACTCTGCGTAAATGGTTTCCAGAAACAGTAAGGCCATCGAGTCAAAATAACCAAAGGGTTGATACCTCGCCTCTCAGGATGAAGTAACACCACTTTGGGGTTGGTTCCATTTCCATCAAAACAAATATACATTAACAACAAAGAAAGATTCGCCACTCTTTGCAAGAATTTCAATGGATGCCACCAAGGTCAACCTCCCACCACATACCTCCCGTTGGGCAAAAACATAGAAACCTTCAGAAACATCATTCAAGATAAAATCTGAGACTAGTGGGACATTTTCAACCCTCATACATTTGAATGAAAATGGGAATCAGGACAATGAAAATACAGTAATTGAAGCACCTAAAAAGGGCCCCACCTTAGAAATTTCATAAAGAGCACAAAAAACCTTAGAGCTGTTTGTAACACAGGAAACAACAATGAAAGAAAATAGAGCAGAAAAAATTTTGAGGGTAATAAAGGATAGATTCAAACTCAAAAAGTTATTTCAGATATTCATCAGTTTGTGCAAACTTATTTCAATTACTTATTTCTATTATAATTTTTCAAATTGATGAGAAAGATGTCTAAACATAAGGAAATGTTTTAAAACACAAATCATTTACCTCAATATTTTCAAATAAACACAAATTTGAGAAAATAATTTTCCTTGGTATTGTATTTCATTCCCCAAGAATTTTCCATTATCCAAACCAATGTTAAAAAAAGCAAGGCACAAACGTGCCTCAAGACTGGACTCAAGATATTTTTATTTAGAAAATCAGATTTGAGGTGATTTTTCCTTGCGAGTGGTTCAATTGAACACCTTTCACGACGGAAACATGGCCTAAAGAATTATATGTTGTATGCAGATATGAGGCATACACCTCATCTATATATGTTGTATATAGATTTGAGGCATACACCTCATCTATTCTGATATTTATTGGGTTTAGGATTAAATTAGTCTACTCTGTGAAATTAAATTATACCTGCTGGGAAACCTACGTTCTTCTATCGCAAACAGTCTTTACCTCTCGTCTTCTTGTTGCTGCAGGACCTGTGTAGCTGCTTGATTACCTCCTTCGCCCCCAGACCCGAGTAAGTTTTCATCTTCTTTGAGCTTTCAATTTTATATGACTTTTTCTCATCTCAAATTTCAGTTTGGTAAGTGCCTAAGTGTGTATATACCGTACTTTATCTTGTCTTCTTTTGGAAAAGATGCTTTGATATTTTATGCTTCAGTATTTTAAGTGTGCGAGTCCATGCTGTGTTTCTACCTTTTCCTTATAATATTTTGCTTTGATTTTTTAATATAACATGGTTTGATGTTTAATGTACATCGATTACTACTTCTTGCCACATTCGACTATTTTTTGTCACACCCACTATTCACATGGTCAAATTAAATCTTCTTTCTTTACATTCAGTTTTTAAATTTTATAATTTTAATTTTGTTTTATCACCAAAATATAAATGCATTTAATTTTTAAAAAAAAAAGTTTCACTCAAACATTGTAAACCAAAAAGAGAAAAACAACATGACAGGAGGGAGTATTATTTTTTGTATACATCTCTCTAATGTGATTCAATGTCAGATTCAACATGGGGACGAAGTAGATTCAACACCCGATATCGAGGAATTAATATATTTGATATGTTGTGTAATTTTTGTAAAGAAAACACCAAAAGATGGATCCTTTCACCTAGTGTACACAATACGCCTTTTGAAACATTGGTCCAAACATAAAATAAGTTAACAAAATAAAGGCAGTACAATATGGAGTGAAAGATACTTTGTTTCACGAGAGAAGTAAGATAAAAGGAGACAAATAAACCTCATTTTCTACTCTCATCTCATTAAAATGGAATGGAAGTTTACTATTTATTAAAGAATTCACCTTTTTGTCTTACATGTTTAAGTTATGGCTTGTATGATATATGGAATAAAGTTATTAACTAATAACAGTATGACTGTTATCTCCGTAAAAAAACAATACTTCGTGTGATAAAAAAATACAATCTTTTCGTTTCTTATATAATATAAATCAAAACTACAGAGATTTCAATGAGAAAGGAAAAATTGAAAGAGTATAAGAAAATATCATTTCTTGAACGGCACCACTACACCAGTAACACGTTTGAACCCAGAAACAAAATTTATCATGGAATGAAAACCTGAGATTCAGTGCCAACACTTGTGTTCGTGTAATCATATCAAACATGAACGCTCAATAGGATGCAAAATCTAGCGCAATTACCTTCCATATCTGCTAAAGATGTCCTCCAAATCTCGAGTTCGCGTCCTGGAAGAGAGGTGGCCAACATAGAGGCGGTTTCCACCGTAGCGATCATCATAGCGCGGCATTGTTCCTATAACAAAACAGATCTGAATTACGTCGCTGAAAAAATTACTCCTTTACCATCAAAGTTCAGCTCAACGCAACAAAAATCAAGATCATCAAGAGCCTCGAACAGTTCGCGCCCGATGAATTGTATATCAACAAGACGAAGGCATATAAAGACTTGAATCAAAGATCTGGTTCGCAAATACCTGAGTTGAGTTCGGCGGCTGGCGTAATAACCCTAGATTTGATTTTGTGATTCCAGAAATTCTACGATATACGGAGAATATCTCCCGACGATTATTATATTGAACAACTTCAGGAAGTATGGGCCATATCGGGTTTGGACTCTTGAAATCGTAGAAGAAATTGATAAGAGTGATGGCCCATTTGTTAAACTTAATAGAACATGGACAATGATAAGTCGATAAAAAATAATCTAGTAGTCAAGTGACAAATGAACGGAATGACATGAGTTAGGGGTGCATACAAATCAAATAAAATGTATTCGATTCGTGATTCGTATTCAAAAAGGATGATTCGTATTTGTTATATTCGAATTCAAATTTGAATACAAATCATATTTTAGATTCGAATTATTTTTGAATTCGAATACAAATATTAATAGATTCGATTCGTTTATTATTCGAATTATTCGAATATTATAATTTATAAATAAATTTACATATATTCTAATATATTAAATATTTGTGTACATATTTTAACATATTTTAATATATTAAATTTGTGTACATATAAATTTATATATATTTGAATATTATAATTTATAAATAAATTTATATATATTCTAGCATATTTTTACTATATTTTAAATTATTATAAAATAATAATTTAATGTCTTTAAGAAATCTATTTTAAGAAAAAAATTACTTATATTTCGAATTCGAATATTCGAATACGAATTCAAATACGTCAAATATCTATTGAATCGAATACGAATGTTTTTTAAAATTCGAATTATATACAAATCCGAATTTGAATACATATCACTTTAATCGAATACGAATCGAATAGTGATATATTTGCTTCGATTCGATTCGTATACACCCCTAGCATTACCTATAGTGGCAACTATTTTTTTTAATTACTTTTTTGCATTTTTGTATATTTAATTAATAAAATTAATATTTCTAATTGTTGGATAATATGCTATTATGAGTGTGTATATTTGCAATGTTCTTTGCCTATAATCTTTCAGGTTTGATAATAACAAAGGTTTAACATCATTTGAGTATCAAAGCTAAGAAAAAGGTTGATTCAAAAGTTACAACGAGCTTATCAAGTTCGTATTGAATGGATGCTTTGGATGTTCAAGACCGAACACGTTGTCACTTTGGTTTATAGGTCTTAGAATGTGTGTTAAAGAGTATGGCTTCTCTTAATTCACCCCTTGATGACCCTTTCGTAAAAACAATTTTTGAGTATATCTTTCCTTGCATAAGTTGATCTTTTATTCGAATGACCATTAAGTTAGCTTATTTGAATAAAATAGAGAACTTTAGTTGTTAGCTTTAGAGCTCACCTATTGGGATAAATCGTTGTCTATTTGAATAAGTAAAACAAATGGTTGACTTTTCGAATAAGTTATTTTTCATTAGAATAGTTTTGAACATGTTCGAATAAATTGACACTTATAATTCCCCCAATAGCTGTATTTTGAAATTTTGATCCCTATACACTCACTGTCTTAAAAAAAACTCCATTGGATTGTGAGTTTGAGTAGAGAATGCCAATGTTACCCATTCCCTTTGCAAATCAAATCAAAGAGTTCTCAATATATCACACTCAATCCTCTTCTCATATCCAAGCACGAGATCATTGTTGCTCATATTTATTCCTCGCTTGAGATTAGCCTCATTTGTTGAGTCTTTGAAAGATTACGTCATATTCTATAGAAGATCATTGTATTGCTGCAATTCGCTCTTGTGCATATAATTGTAACACTATTTTTGCTTTCTTTTCTTTTTAGAATGGATGTACACACCTTGACGTTGTTAGAAATTCCATTTATTACTGAAATCAAACGTTATGTAAAAAAATCTCAAGTTTAGTAAAATCAATCATTTGGTGTTGAGATAAAAGCCTTGAGAAACCAAGTTCTCGATTTGAACTGGAATGTTAAATTCCATTGACTTTGAACAACACTATGTTTGGTTTAAGCAGTTTGAAAGGTAAAAGAAAAGGAAATGAAGTGGAAAATAATTTTTTTTGTTTGGTTGGAGAGGAAAAGAAAGGAAAAGTTGAAGGAATAGAAAATGAGAAATGCAAAATGTACCCAGGGGAAGAAAAACCAAATTCCTCCCATTTTGTTAAGGAAAATTAGAGAAAATCATTTTTTTCTTCTCTTTCCTAATTCTTTGAACCAAACATAGTGTAAATGCAAGCATTTGGTTGAAGCATTATAGCCTTTGTGTTTAATTTACTCATTGTCAGTAATAATTTCTTTTTCTTTTTTTTTCATTGTGGATTTTTTTGTGGTTTTTCTTTCAATGTCTCTCCTATTTAATACCAAATACGGAATATTAGTTCATTGGTTTCCTTTTATGGTATGTTTGGTAACTTTCAAATCCGGATTATTTGGCTCAAATCTTTGTTTGAGAAACATTAAAAATTTGGATTTTGATTTGAGTCAAATTTCTTTAGTTTATAACAAAGCTCAATTTGAAATCAATATATCTCTCATTGTCATTTGAACTGCATGAATTGAAATGAAATGCTAGTTCTTGAATACTACCTTATCTTTTTTTATGGATCGATTATCATTCTTAAGAAATACTTTAAGATTTCGAAATAAACTCTATACATAATTTAAATACTCCGATTCTTAGAATTATTATATACTCGTATAAAATTTTATATGTTTTAAGTCTTGTAAAAAAAGAGATCCAATGATGAAACCACTGAAAATATGTACGAATGTCTGCAATAGCACAACTCTTGATTGAAAATATTTTTATTTCAATTTATTTAAAAATGTAAAAATATCTAACAAAAATTATATACTCCGTATTTAAGAACTTTATACAATAAGACCATGTTTGCTGGGATTGGAATTTCAGATTTAGATCGATGTTGAAAGAAATCGAAAGGAATTAAAAGAAAATGGAAAGAATTCGAAAAAAACTAGAAATAGTTTGGAAATTTCGTGTATTATTTGACCTTCCTACAGACGTGTTATGTTATATTCATCATCATAATATATGAATATTTTTATTTTTAAATCGTTGTTGAAATACGACCCACACATATTATGAGACAAAATCATAATTAAAGTCACACTCGGATCAAAGGATGATAACATAGAATATTCATTTTAGTACACTTTTTATTCATTTATATATATAAAGGACGATTCATTCAAATTTATAGATGAAGACTATTTATAAGATGTCAAAAAGTCTACTTGTCGACCTTTGAGCCTGCGATGACTCCTTTATTCAATCTTCAAGAGGAAATTCGGATTCAGAAATTCCATCCACCAAAAGTCTCAAAAACTGCATCACCTGCGCCCATTGTATATACACAAAATCTCTATCAAAATAAGATAGCATATAGTATATATTTTAATGTGATTAGTTAAAATGAAAATTTCCATTAAATAGTAATAAAATAAATATCATTTCTCAATGTAGTACTTAATTTTTTTATTTTCTAAATAATATCTAAATAGTGTCTAATGGTGGGATTAATGTCAGTGATGGTGAACATTCATTTTGAACAATGCCCAATGACGCTCTCTTCATTTATTACGTAGACCCCACTCACATCATTTAATATATCCCACCTACTTTCATGAAAGACAATTTGGTAATAATTTTTGTCCTTTTTCAACTCTCTAAAAAAGAGTAAAAAGTTCGTTTGGTAAGATTTTCTCTCGATAAATGGAGTAATTAATAGAGTATTAATATCAAAATAATCCTCTATATTTTTACTGGTTAGTACTTATGTGCGAAAGTTCATGCATTGTTGTATGTGTTTTTGGTATATAACAGATGAGAGAGACTAAGATCTTCTTTAGAAATAATAATTTAAATTAGTTTAAAATTATGTAGATTGATTTTAAAAAAATTAAAACTAAACATTATCGCTAAATAATATTTTCAAAAGCTACCTCTAATTTATAGCATTGTGGTCAAATAAAATCTTGTTTAATTTAGAAAACGTTTTCGACTAGCGTTAACTTTTTTTTTAAAATTTAATATTATACATTAACCTTTAAAAAACTAAAACCAGACATTATCGTTAAATAACATTTTCAAACTCTAACTCTAATTTATAGCATTAACGTCAAAATAAAGAAGAAAAAAAAGCCCTAGCTAGTAGTAAGCAATACTTGCCTCTAATGGTTCTTCCAAGGAAAATGAGGCGTTTGTTTCTTTGGGAGTTTTAGAAACAATGATCCCTAAACCTTGACTTCTCTGCTGGAGAACCTAATTATTAAGAATAAAAAAATTCAATAAATAAAATTAAATTATACTCCATATTATAAAAAAAATTATATAGAGTTTAGGGAAATCAATGCCATAATTATGGAATAAAAAGAGAAATTAATTAATTTCGGAGTAATAATGAATTTGTACGTACCCTGAATGCATCTTCATCGGTCCGATCATCTCCGATGTACACCGGAAAAACATCATCTGAATTATTTCCATAGCCCAATGATTCCAACAAAAATTCAAGTGCATTGCCCTTGTCCCACTTTATGCAAGGTCGAATTTCTAATACCTTAATTAATCAATCAGAAAAAAAATATGCATCATTATTAATTATTCTTGTTGTCGTTATTATTATTTAATATTTTTATATATTCTTGTCCCACACATTACTCTCTCCGATCTAAAATAATTTTCCTATTTTGATTTCACAAAAATGAAAAAAAATATTGATAAAATGCAAAAAAGTAAAGAATGAGCCATAAAAGTATGTGAAATTTGCACTAAATGTGACTAAAACATATGTCATTTCCCAATTTAGTATTTAAACTTTTTTACTCCCTAAATAATACTACGTATTTGAATAATGTCCAGTGGCAGAAACAATGTCTAGTGATGGTAGACATTTAGTTTGAACAATGTCCAGTGGCAGTAGAAATTTACTTCAAACAATGACCAGCGATACTACATTGAGAAATAAAAACATATGATTTTACATTGAGAAATTTATTATGTTTTAGTAATATTGAGGTAAACTATCCTAAAAATATCTCAAGCTAGGTAGAGTGGAAGTTAATTTTAAGAGTAAATTCCCAAAATAGTCCTTTGTATTAAGGGATTTTCCCAAATTAGTCCTCAATAAGTTTTAATTACATACGTGGTCCTCTATAATTGAGATTTATTCTCAAAATAGTCCTTTGTAATAAGGTTTTTTCCCAAATCAGTCCTCAATAAGTTTTAATTACCTACGTGGTCCTCTATAATTAAGATTTATTCCCAAGATGGTCCTTCAGAAATAATGTTACTCAAATGAGGATTAATTAAGGGTATTTTTTATCCGCTAAATTTAGAATTAATTCTTAAAATTATCATTTATAATGAAGTGCTATCCCTAAATGGTTTTTCTAATTAGAAATGTGTATTTGATTTGAAATTTAAAAGATTTTTTTAAGTATTAAATAATTCATAAATTATTTTTAGTCAATGTTTTTTTTAAATTTTACATTTAGTCAATTAATTTCATAAATTAATTCATAAATGATTATTTCAAGAATATACTTTAAATTTTGATGATCAAAATACTAAAATATCTCCCAATAAATCATGATTTGAGTAACATTATTTACAAAGAATCATATTGAGAATAAATATCAATTATAGAGAACCACATAAGTAATTAAAATTTATTGATGACTGATTTATGAAAATACCTTACTTATTACAATGGACCATTTTGAGAATTTACTCATCAATAATTTATGAATTATTTAAAACTTAAAAAATCTTTTAAATTTCAAATCAAATACACATGTTTAATTAGAAAAACCATTTTGGGAAAGCACTTCATTATAAATGATAATTTTAATAATTAATTCTAAATTTAGCGGATAAAAAATACCCTTAATTAATCCTCATTTGAGTAACATTATTTACGAAGGACCATCTTGGGAATAAATCTCAATTATAGAAGACCACGTAGGTAATTAAAATTTATTGAGGATGGATTTGGGAAAACACCTTCTTACAAAGGACTATTTTGGGAATAAATCTCAATTATAGAGGACCACGTAGGTAATTAAAACTTATTGAGGACTAATTTGGGAAAATCCCTTAATACAAAGGACTATTTTGAAAATTTACTCTAATTTTAATTGAAAAATACAGAATTATACGTACCATCCTTCCTTGAGACAATCGCAGCTTTGGGTATCCTTTGAGAACAGATTTTACGTGTTCAGCTACCTCAATCCATTTCTAATTAAATCCCCCCAAATAAAAAAACAAATACAGAGTAATAAGTAATGTAGCTAGAAATAAAATTAGTCCTCCATAAAAATACAAAAAACTTATTTGAGGAAATAATAAAATCAACTAAAATGAAAAGGAAAAAATACATTTTCTTCCACACAACGATAATGCACGGACAAACAAAACTTGTTGTCCTCCACTTTAGCACCCTCAATTGATTTTGTTTTCTCCAATAAAACTTTGTGCACCTGAAAATAGTAACACAAAAATAATTTTTGCATGCACGTGAGGGACGTGTTAAAATTAAAAGTGTTTTCTGGACTTATAACTAACTAGGAGTATAAGATTGAATTTTAGACTGACTTGATTTTTTGAAAATATTTTCTTATGCCTACAATCAGAAGTTTGAATTCTTCGTTGAATAATATTTTTGAATAATATTCTTCATTGAATAATATTTAGGTAAATTACCCTAATATTTTTGACAATAGAGTCATGTCAAATATGTTTTTATATATTTTTTATTTGGTTTTTAAAAATATAAATTTTATTTTTTAACTTTATAAATATTTAAATAAATAAACAAGCATTTACCTACCTCATCAATCATGGGTAAAAACTCTTTGGCTGGCTGGCACAAAAGAGACTTTCTGCCCTGAAAGTGTATCAATATAATAATCTTATTATAATTTGCACGTTGCAATTTTTAATTAATTAATTACAATTAATTACTACAAATAATTACTAATAATGTTTGCCTTTGTGTAGGCCGTGTGGCCCTCTTCTGGTCCCTTGATGTCCATCCCGTGACTTCCAGCATAATAAAGTTCCGATAACTTTACAAATTCATAAACCTGATAAATTTAACAAAAAAAGTACTCCCTAGTAAATACTCCGTATATAAAAGGTATGGTGCAATTGACATATTTGGCATTAATTTAAGCTTTTTAAAAACTAAATTGCTATTATGCTATACAATACTCCCTCCATTTTTTTAAAACAATTTCTCATTCATTTATTAAATTTTAATTTGTTTTAACATTTTTAAAACTAATTTGTATCATTAAAAAAATATTCAAAATGCCAACAAAATCAATAATGCTAAGAATAACCAATACATAATACTCCATAAATAAAACACCAAAAAATACAAGTTGGAGCCCAAAGTTTTTTTCTCCACGAATTGAAATAAATTAGTCTTGTTTGAAAGTTGGCGTTTGGTTGTTAGTTGTTTGCGTTTGCTGGTTTGAATGACAGGTGGAGTTAGCTGTTTTGACCAGACAATTGCATTAACTATTCACAAAAAAACGTTTGACAAACTTAGCTGCTTTTAAATAGTTGTTGTAGATGTAATCATATTTGAAAACTTAATTTTATGCAATTATGCATATGATTTGATACTCGACTTCCGCGAGATCAATCGGCAAAGAGGGAGAGAAGAAACCTTGACGCGGCTGAGATAACCACGCAGGCAGAAAGGTTGGGAAGATTAGGGTTTTGGGGAATAAAAGTTGCTTATTATTATTGATAAGGGTTCGTCCCTTTAAATAGAGTTTCCCCATTCCTAATTAATCTAATTTTCTACCCTGTCGGTTCAAGAAAAGCATCGAGGTAAAGAACCGAAAAGAAACCCTCGAAGGAGCTTATAAACCGCTCACCTAGAAAAAATCTACGTTACAAAATATTAAACATAATCTCGGTATCGTCGGGGTGGCCCGACGTTCCTCCTTGGTCGTACGGGTGCTGGGTCACCACTTGGTTCCGTATCCTCCTCATGTACGGTATCATGATTTGTATAATATAATATAATTTATATAACATGAATTAAAATTTATACTCCGTAAAATATAATATGTTATGCAATATAATATAATACAATTCATATATGTAATATATATATATATATATATGTATGTATGTATGTATGTATGTATGTATGTATGTATGTAGGTATGTATGTATGTATATATTAGACTATTTAACAGATTATATTTATTATAAGAGTTATTTAATACGCAATATTTAAGTTTTTTTATTTCTGTACCAACTTTCGAATAAAATAATTAAAAGAAAAAAAAAATTTATCTTGTAAACTCTAAGTGAATTTCATTTCAAGATGGGAAAGTAGTTATTATTTACTCATTTGTTTGTTTTTTATTTACTCCATTTATATTTATTTATTTACTTATGTTTTTAATATTTATACAATAAATAATTATACTCCAACGGCCAACCGCTAACTCGAAAGTCTACTCCTCCCGTCTTTTCATATTTTGGCTTTTGGAACTCTAACAACCAACTTGAATAGCCATTTGTCAATTACTCTGTTTGGTTGTTTGATTGGTCAAAACAATCAAAATTAGTCTAAACAATCAAGAACCATCCGAAAAGCCAATAATATCCAAACATGCCCAATACCAATATATATGTCAACATATATGTAATACCAATAAATATTGTAAAATACCAAAATATAAGGTCACATTAATATATTGCCACACTACAAACTTTTTTAAAAATAATACTCCGTAATATAGAATGCCCGCATATTTTTATACTTTCGCAATTTTAGATGATTAATTAATTTAATTTCTTATAAAAGATGCCCTATATAGGTAACCGTGCGTACCTTGGAAATGCACCTCCCGGTGACAATGGCTGTGGGGAAATGTTTTGCAACATCTCGCACTGTTTCCCTCATCTGAATATACGATTTTAAATAAATAAATTAATAATTTAAAACTATCTAATTAAACATAGATGGACGATGATAATGTAGAATCAAAATAATTAATTACTACTTCTAAACAATAAAATGCCCACCCCTCATGTGCAGACACGTGAAAATTAATTACAAAATACGGGAAATATGTGTAAATCAAAAGAGGAGTGCTTTTTTTCTTTTAAATAAATTCTCAATAAACACTTTTACTATTTAGTATTATATCTGCATTTTTTTTTTAAAAAAAATTGTGAACATTTTAGAAATTAGAAAATACTCCCTCTGTCCCAGAAAGAAAACCACATTTCCTTTTTCAACAATTACGAGAACTTTTGTTTATTTGTACATTTTCATTGATTATTTAATAAAATAAAATATTCTTTTTTTGGACAAAGCACAAAATATGTTTCACTCAAATCAGACTGTTTACACCAAAGGAGCCATACTACAACAACTAAATCTCAATAACTCTTCTGAAAAGTGTTAATCTGCACAACAATTATACAATAAAATATTCTTGACACCTCTTATTTTGAAAATTTTTCATGTAAGTTTTAAATATGTAAATTTTATTTTTTATTTGGGACGGAGTGAGTACATATATATGCACCAAGCAATGAACCTGGGTGGTGATGAAGGCTTTGTCAGGGTCAGCAACAATGGGGGAAAGGGTACCATCATAATCCAGAAACATTACTATCTGTTTCCCTTTACAAGCCTCCTTTATTTCCTCAAATTTGCCCAATGCTGATGGTTGACCACCAATCTGAACATAATTTCAGTCAAATATTGTAAAACGCAACGAAATCATAGTTTTAATATGGACAAGCATTATGTCCCCGTTCAATCCATTCTTGATGTATAAAGTAGTACGGAGTATGTTTTTAGCACTTACCGTCCAAATATTTTCGTAAGAAGCGTCAAAGGATCTTTGGGTCGTCAAGGATGTTGGCGATGAAGCCCTCATCAAACCTAACAATGTCGACGTCGGGTCAACGGTAAGCGGCACCCGGTCAACACCTATCGGCGGCAACACTACATTGTGATTGCAGCAATTTCTCATTATCTCTCTTCTTTTTAAAAAAAAAAAAATTGTTCTTTGTTTTGGTTAAAACTTCTTCCTATTCAAAGAATGCAATGAAGATTCAGTAGTGGTTCATCAAGCAGTGTGTGTGTGTATATAATAATGGACAAGTTGCAGTGAGGAAGTAACCATGAAGTTGCACGTACGGCAAAAGGTTAATTACATTTGATTATTTAAAAACCAATATATGTATATATAAGTCCACATTTTTAAAGTTAGTAAAAAAAAAAGTAAAAGTTATAAAACTAAGCAACCAGGAAATGATTTGAAAGTGAAATCAATTAACGGACCAGTAATTAAGACTGCTGGCGTGTGATTGCCTTACGTGGTCTACCACTTACCTGACCTCGCTTGTCTTTCCACTTTGTAGTTTGCACACGTTGAGATCTTAGTAATTTATGAGAAAGATTAAAGTAGGAGTAAAATATTAAAAATATATAAAAATAAAAGTTATATGTGTGAAGAAAGATTTTACTTGGAATTGGTTGATATTATAAACTTGAAAAGAGCTATATTTCGCAAAAGATTGTCTGATACATCAAAATTGAAGATAATTGTGTAACAAGTTGTGCCGTTTTCCCTTTTTAAATAGTAAAGTTATATTTTTAAAAATCACATTCATAAATCGATCTAGAGGTCATTACATCACTATGCATGACTTGTTGGACTCGAATAAGCATGACTTGTGACAAATGTAAATGGTATAAGGGCTAGCATGTGTTGATTGTCAAGACACACTATTTCATGTTTGGTTACATAGCATGAATCAACTTTTTACCTTTGGCGTGAACTTAAAAATAAAAAATTACACGAAGTACCAAAAAATTACACAATTGGAATGTAAAATGTTACTACCTCCGTCCCACAAAAAGTTCCCATTTTGACCATAAATTGGTCAAACTGTTGCACACTTTGACCATAAATTAAATATAATCTGAATAAAGAAATGCTAAAAAAATTTGAGATATCAAAACTAGATCCTAAGATGAATCCAATTATATAAATTTTATTTCATAATTCAATATACTTTTCTCACAATTTGTAGTCGAAGCGTTTAAATATTTGACTAAATACTATTCAAAATGGAAACTTTTTTGTGGGACGGAGAGAGTAACAAATTAACTCAACAATATGTTCAAACTTATTGTTGTAGAACTAATGAAGATTTTATACTCTAACCACTACTATATGATGTGAATTTATTGATAGAATTTAGGATGTGATAAAGGTTATTGGATTGGACTATAAGACACTTGGGCTGAACCATATTAAAAGGCCGGATCTAATCGATTATTTAATTCAACTAAAGAGCTTATATACCAATTCATTTTTTTCTTCAAGTTCCGATGTGGGATACCTTTAACACTCTCTTTAGAGTGGACAACCGAACCATATTGAATCTTGTCGATTGACCACTTGCAAATGGATTCTCATTTCATTGATTTTTTTTAGCGCCAACACCTAGAGGACCACGTGTCGCTGTGTATGGACTTCCAGATAAACAATCAAGTTAAACGGGCTACGTGCTGTTGGATAGGCATTCTACAAGCACAACTAGGCTAAAAACTAGGACCAATATGAATGAACGTGTAGACAGACACCTTGACAAACGAGGTGGGCTAGAACTCTTTAACAATATTGAATCCAATTGATTAAAAGATATATTGAACTATATTGAATCCAATTGATTACTTAGTTCAATTAAAAAGTTTATATTCTGATTTATTTTTTCTTCAAGTTGATCTAATGTGAGAAACTCTTTAACAAATATATTTATAAAATTATGTTTTAATTTTTTAAACAAATATTTGCGTTGTGTTATTTGATGCACGCCATTGAAAAACTAAGAATTTACTAGTATTGGCTTGGCCGACGCAAACTTTATGTGGACTTACTCAACGCAAGTAACTCTTTTAGTTTATTAATGAAAAAATTACTGTAAATATGACTAAAACATAAGTCATTTTCAATGTAGAACTTAAATTTTTTTATTCTCTAAATAAGACTTAATAATGTCTAGGAGAAGAAATAATGTCCAGTGATGGAAGACACTTACTTGAATAATGACTAATTAATAATGATCAATAGTCTTATATTGGGAAATAAAAACATATGGTCCTATATTGAGAAAGTCATTATGTTTTAGTCATATTTAGATAAATTACTCTTTATTAATTAGGTTAAATGACATCTCTAATTTTTGAAATGTATTTATATGGAAAAGTGCATGGATTACCCCCGAATTTCTTAGAAAGTGCACGATTTACCCCTAAAGAATAAGAAGTGCACCAATCACCCCTCAAATATGCAAACCATTGCACCATTGGTCCTCCATTCCTAGATCCAGCATGCGTTTCTCCCACGCACCAAAATTGTGACTCTGATTCACATCAGCCCTTTGGAATTCTTGAAATTACCCTCCCCAGATTTATCTTGTTGATTTAGCCAAAAGTTTGCCCTTCTCAATCTATTTTCCAAAGGGTAATTTTGATCTATTTTCTTCTTGATTAATTTTCCAAAGGGTGCAATGGAGAATTGTAAATTGGTAGATTTGTCAATAGTTAGGAGGGTAATTTTTGATCTATTTTACAAATCACTAGGAGTGGTAATTTCCAGAAATTAATTTACAAATTGAAATTACCCTCCCCAGATTTATCTTCTTAATTTCCCTTCTGATTCACATCGGCCTCAAATTCTTATTGTAGTTGGAATGGATAGCTTGTGCGTACGGAGTATATACGAAGGAAGGGGTATTTTAGTATTTACAATTGCTTTTTACAATTAATTTTTACGAAAAGAGACAAGGGGGCAAGTGTGCAATGGTTTGCATATTTGAGGGGTGATTGATGCACTTCTGAAGAAAATAATAAGAGGGAAAATATTCTGTATATTGAATTGTTCTGCTAAGTACAAGGAGTTTCTCCTTTATTTATAGGAGAGGATAAAGACCAAAACACAAAAGGAATTCTATTCCTACAAGGAAACAAATCACTAAATATGAACAAGGAAACAAATCAAGAGCAATCCCACTTAGAATGGGATTTGCTCTCCTTCTTGCCGTGTGGTCCAAGGAGCACCGCCCAACA